AGTATTTTAGCTCTATCTGCATTATTTTTTTAAATATTTAACCCTTCCAGGACTTTTCTACCACACTGTATATTATGTAACTATAAAAACATTTAACCGTTTTATCAGCTGACGCCCAAACAAACAGGTATTTTGTACAGGTATTTTAAATGTACACAATCACCCTTGGTAGGATTTTGTGTTAAAATTATACTATTGAAGATGGACTATTGGAGAGGTTTTACATTCGACTCAAATTTAAATATTTTGATTCGATGTAAAATAAATATTCATATATTTATACATTCAGTTGACCAAAAATCTTGATAGAAAACCATTTGTTAAGTCATAATCTTGGTTTGGTTACTTTTTTTACACCTAGAAGTGTCGGTCCAACCGATAATAAAGTTAATAAACCATTGTTAATCGAGTTAACTGTTAACGAGTTTACACTTTAAGTTGATACATATCCACACCTCTAGTTTCTATAACAACGAGTATTTGCAGTACTATATTCTGACGATATTGGAAATTGTCGAAGGCATGAAACCTGTGTGTAAAGATACCGGTAATCGTCGTAGACGTTTTATGCCGTAACTAACTTTGGCTGATTACCTTATCTTGTTTGTTTGTTCAATTAGGAATACTTTCATTAACTATCATCAGTAAAACAAAGTTACCTGTACCTGATTACAGTTTTATTGATAAACATGTTAAGACTGTATTCCATGGTACTAAAACTAAAATAGTGTGGCCTTGTGTATTCTCATTAGCAAACTCGTTTAGGGTATTTACACAATATAGGAATATACACAATATATTGGAAGCAATAATGCAATCAATAGGTACAATAGAATGTCCTGGCTATTGGCGTTGTACCATTATTCGCAATATAACCAAGAAATCCTCATCACATAACCTCAAAAGTACCTAAAGCTATTCCGACTTCAGATTGTCAAGTTAAGTAGTCTAGCAATGTCTATATACGATCCAACAAATCGTATGTATTACGTGCTAATATTGCAATGTTTTAAACGACGTGTACATGTTAAATAATACCTTAATATAAGGGTTGTATTATGGTTACACAGGTTGAAGTGTATTCATTTATACATGATATTTTTTATCAATATCTCCAATTGCATAGCTGCGTTACATACTTTTCGTCGACAATTCATAAGGATTTAGTTGACATGGTTAAATGCACTTTCAACAGTTCGATCACCGTTACACATTTAACCCTAGATAAATGCAAGTCACACAAAACATTCAAGAAAACTGACCTCATAAAATGCTGATAAATCGCCGTAATAGTAGTTTGGGGCCCAGAACATGTTAAAGTCCATGAGTTACTACACAAATTAAAACTAAGTTAAAGCTGTTGGTTTCAAGAGAGTTTTAAAGTGGTCTCACCACACGAAAAGCCGGCCGACACTGAGTGAATGAAGGAATGGGTGGAACCATGGAATCGGCGAATCATGAATGTACTGGAATACCCGCAACGGCGAATGAGATAAGAGTATTAAATATCCATATCACCTGACCGGGCAGACGACGTACAAACAGTCCCGTTACAACATGGCCGCCGTAGTTGTGGAATTAAAAAAAAAAGTATTACAATAGGTCTGGGAATTTGTAGAATGATAGTGACACCACTAGTAAAAATGTTCACACGGGTGTGGTGTTTGAGTTTCGCTGTAGATGTATGATGTATAGATTCGATAGGAAAAACTCTTTAAGATTTTCACGTAAAATATCAAGGAAGTCCTTAGAGTACCATGATGGCAATACTATATAGTCTATTGCAATACGTTATTGTACATATTTTAAATGGCAATAGTAGTTTTAGCGAAACTATGTAGTTCTGATGTTGATTAAAATGTTTGCAATGTCACTGCTATATCTGCAAACATTTGTTTGTAAAATATAATCGATTGTATTCAGAAGGTCACCGGTTCGATCCTGAGAAATGTCAGTAGCTTTTTACCCAGGGTGTGCATTGAGTTTTAATAAAATGACCCTGGCTTAAGAAGCTTGGTCGGTAACAAAGGTTCACAATGCTACTCACTCCATCCTATATTTTGGGTTAAATATCAAAATACCCTAGTTGTGCCCTCGTCTCACTTGTTAATTCTAATTATGTATGTTAAAACGTGTCCCTTTTGAATAAATTAGTATAGTTAAACAAATAAATGGGGTTTTAAATACGCAATCGTCATAATAACAGGATTACCAACCAAATTGATAGGATTTATGATAAGCATGAAGCAAAATAAAATACCCCCGCCGCAGCAAACCTGCCGACTAAGCGAATTTCCTTTTGTCTTAATTGATTTCAATTAAATATATTTTAATAACATTAGGTTTAACGAGTACCTAGGTTTGCTGCTACAAGGAAACTAATAAAGTTTGTTTTTTTGTAAAATATTGATAGCTTAGTACAAAATAAATAAATTTGATCAATATACAAAATATATCCATAAGCAAGCAAACTACAACATTTGACAATATTCTCCATAAGAATAACATAGGAATTTTAAATTTACAATTTTTTAAATTTTCTCTGTTACTATTAACCGAACAAAAATACTTTTATATACTAAATTAATTGTTTTTTAAGCTCTTTAAAAAGGTCTAAAGAGAAATTGGGAAATTTTGTGTTTTGAGGGTCAAAAGTGAAAAAAACTAATTTTTACCCCATAAAACCCCCCGTAAAGCCCCGTTCCCATGGTCCGATCATGCTGGTTCGCGAACTCATTCATGTTTATCCCGCTTTACACCCTTAAACCAAATTTCATCAAAATCGGACAAAAATTACTCAAGTTATCGCGTTCACGGACGTATATATATAAGTCTATAAGTCTATATATATATATACATATATAAAAATTTGAACGAATGGTGTTTTTGGCCTCTGGGGACATCAAAATGAAAAAGTAAATCGGTCACGGGTCTAGGTCTTACCGTGCCACCTACGGTAATAGCTACTTCCCTATAGGGAAATTCGCTAAAAATCACAAAATAAAGGAAAAAAATACTAGTTAACTTATTTTATTTTTATAAACTGACATAAATAAATTACAAAAGAATAAGCTTTATTTACTTTAATTACAGTAGTTACTTGTTAAGTTGTGTGGAAGAATATAAAGTACAAAGAAAGTGTAAGTGCACAAAGAATATAATATGTTCAAATTTTTTTTTGAAATGTTAATAACGGTTTTCCACAGTACTTGTCTTTACTATTTCAACAATAATTGAAGTAATATCAGAGGGTGAAGTATAAGCATTACTCTTGCATACACTTGTTTACAGTGTTTCCAATAGCTGTGCCACAAACATTAATATTTACGGGATGGCTCAAGTCCAAAAATACATTTGGTCATAGGCAATCTGTAAAAAAGACACAAATCTAAACTATACAATACAACCAATCCTATTGGAATCCACGTGAAACTACAATAGGCCGGAGGTCCAAGTTAATGACAGGTTCCAGCCTAAACACCACATTCACTTACATTTTAGAGGGCGTTAAATAAAGTTTAATTATTAGTTGGACCGGTCCAAGTATGGAGCTTCGGGGAGAACGTTTCGTAAGATTTCTAGGCTCATCTCTCTTGCTGGAGTTATTAGAGGGCTCTAGGCGCTATGTGGCTTGTAATTATAGTAGTTCTAGGTGTCGGGAAGTAGGTTGAAAGAATTCCTGGAAAATGTTTCGTAAACAGTAGTATACACCTGGAATTTGTTTTACCTTCTGTTACTGCATTTTTACAACGTTGTTGACTACAGAAATGTTTGGGTTTGTTGACAAAGCCAGTGTTCAATTTTCTGTTGGTTTCGACTGCAAGAAGAGGGTTTGAATATCTTATGGACATGATTACTTTTAATTTTGTAGTTTTAAAAGTATATCTAGAATATTATCATTCATATATGTATAAAGTGCAATGCAATGGATGTGGAATCTAATTTTTTTGTTATTCTCTAAAACCAAAAAGAATCACATTGCAATTATTTATTTCCTACACTGACTAAAAATTGCTTATATATGGTATGATAAAAATATATTTGCACTAAATAAAAAAATAAACATCAATGCATGCCCAGTTATCTGGTTACTTGTATATAAATAATATTTTAATAACTTCTTATTTATTTTGTTTACAATACAAATTGCAGTATTGCGTTTCAGAACAAATTTTATTATGTCTCACTAAAATGTATAAATTCAAAGATATATGGATAAAACATATCCAAAGACTACTTTGAAAGATAGCTCAAAGGTTTGGATCTTATATCTGTCCCTATTATGAAACATAAAAATTCAAACAGTTTGGAATAAAACTACAGTATAACCGCAACTAAACTAAAACTATAGTAATTCCCCATCTAAAACTATGGTACACCGCACAACCACTGTGAAAGAATCTACAGATTATCTTCTATGCAGTACTACTATAATGTTTATATTCCCTGTAACCTCTTACATAAACCAACATTTTATCCGGTTGTACAGTTAAACCTAATGATCCGTTACGGGATATAACTGAAACGGCTAACGGCAATAATCATAGAAGATAGGGGTATGACTCGATTCCACCGATTGCATGGACTGCATAACAGAATGACTTGGTTTTCTAACCAACAATCTGATTATGGGGATCTTACGTGCTCGGTTGCACTCAAGGACTACTTTAGAACGCAGTTATTATCTCAAGAAATCCATTAGTACGATTTTACTTAGTATGAAGAAAATTATTCTGACGGTTGAATAATTTTTTGATGGACTCAAAAGTCTATAACATTAGTCCATATGACTCATTTTTGAAATTTTCCGAGTAAAATTTATTTAATTGTAATAGTTTCTGTGATAAACCGGTTCGCTCCTGAGAAAAGGGAATTAGGTTTAGGGAATAATCCAACACCATTCTACATTAACTCTTGATTTATATTCAGCTTAAAAACGCACTAAGGTCTGAATATATGTATGAATTGAATTGTTTTCTAACTGTGTTTTTCTTTTTCAGATAATCACACAAGCAAAGATGTAAGATCTCGACGCAATGACACCGAAGAGCGACCCTTCGGAAGACGATGGACGACCTCCCGCAACAGCCCTTACCAGAAGATCGTCTCCAGCTACGAGACAGAGCCTGCAGCGAGGGTAGAGGTGGAGGGGGAGGAGGCCAAGGCGAAGAATCACAAGAGAAAACAGTGGAGGACGAGTGCGACGGCGCATGACCAGATAACATCGGAGACGTCCTCAGCTGTAGAGAGCGAGCACGAGGATGATAGGGGCAATGTCCAGGAGGAGGGTCAGCCTGCGCAGAGAACTCTGAGAAGGAGATCCACAACTAGTCACCCTCCGGAAATGACGTCAGAGTCACCTAACATCACCACAATCAACCCAAAGAAGAGGAGAAGACCGTCTTCCACTTCAACAACGACCACTCTTGCTCCTCAGACGATGTCGGACTCTCTATATCAGTATTTCAGACCTTTAGAACAGGACGTTCCTCAGGACGATATCATTCCGTTTCTAGACTTCGGTAGAAAACTGTCTCCGGTCATCCCGACACCGAGTGGAGCGAATTCTATTGAGAGTAAAACCATTGTGACAAAGTTGAGGCCGAGGGAACATATTGATGAAAAAGAAAGCAATTCTTCTGACGAAGAGGTTCTGCAAGAAGACATGGATCTTACTGTGGTAAAAAAGGCAATAGAGAGAAACTCTGTCCCCAGAGGGAAACTTCGGGTGCAGACGTCAGGTATTTCAGATTTTTATAGGAAAAGGGTGCCGACTCAACTACGGACAACGGAAAATCTCATAAGTACATCTGACTCTTCCACAGCATCAAGTGTGTCTGGAGGGAAAAGTGTAGGAGTGTTGAAAAAAGGCCATCGTCACCATGTTCACAACACAGAAGGGACCAGAAGTGAAGATAAGTTTCCTCTCAAGCAGGCAGCTGATTTAGAAATAGTAGGTACACCTAAGGACGTAGAAGTATTTGTGGAGAAAAGAAAACACCTAAGTTCAAGACCGATTCAGCGATCTTCAGCTTTAAAACAAGAAACTCACACATCGCCTTTGACAGCAGAATCAACTCTTGTAAAAACGGTCATAAAGGAGGTACCTGAAGAAGTAAGTGGTGAGTCAGAAGCGTCTGAAAACGTTACAACTTCTGTGCCAAATGGTTCAAGATTAAACGCCCCTAATAATACTCGGAATCAAAATCCCTCATCTACTACAAAAATGGAAATATCTAGCATAACAAACAGTCCAATAACAAAAACATCAAGAAATAGCAACATGCAAGAAAGTGTGAATCCAAAGATTTTATCTACCGCTGTAGTCACTTCTGTGTCAGTTCAGGAGCCTTTAACAGATCTAAAACATGAAAATACCACTGAACTACCAAGTTCTAGTTCTTTAAATGGTACTAAAGATGACCGTATAGTCTCTGAATTACCAATTGACAACAATCCTCCTACAATAAAAGACACAGAAATGCGAAGCTACATATCGACTAAGAACTCATCAAATGTTCCAGTGAATACCCCAGATCCAAAGGTACTATCTCAGAAAAATACTACAGTACCAGTAATATCCAGAGACATATATAAACAGCGCAGCCCTTCTCGAATTCTCATTCACTTACCTCGTCAACTTGCTCGCGTCAACTCAACTCAGAACAAAACCTTAATATCAAACCAGACTATTTCAGACTTAGCAATTATGCCAACAAAAAATAATAGCAATGGCAGTCCAATACCTGATGGAAGAAATGAAACTATACAAACAGAAGTGCTGACAACTCCATCAACAATATCTCCAACAACAAATGAACAAAGTTTTCTATCAAACGAAAGCCTTAGTACAGAGCCTCCCAAATTGTCACCTACTTTAATTAGTTCTCAGCCAACATTAAAACTCGAACCCTCTCAAAATAGTACGAAACCCCCTAACTTTAAGCCTATTTCGATCGCTGTAACAACGGAAACCTCCAAAGAAGATGTGAGACCAAACGCAGATCCTACCAAAGACAGAAAGGTCACTGAACATTCTCCACCTGAAAGTGACCTCGACGAAGATAAGTCCGACAAAAGTCAAGACGCTTTTCCAGTAAACCCCGAGCCTGCGTCTTCTAGTGAGGCTCCCGCGGAAACTGAAAGCTACGATGTCGTCTACCCTGCAGAAGATGGTGAAGACCAGTTCCCAATATTGTTCACGACCCCACCTCCTGTGGTGGACACTAGGCCTGAGCCGGAGTACGCGGTCGTGGAGGAACAGAAGAACTCTTCGACCTCTCGACCTCCGGAGGTAACCCACTGGGTGAAGACTGGAGAGGTAAACAAGGAGGTGGAGGTGGTGTACCCAGACTCCATGGGTCTAGGAACATACCTTCTCGCAGCTCTGGGAGTTCTTCCTGTCATCCTGGGAGCTCTGATTGGGGCAAGATTCATACTGGCTCACAATAGGAAAAAGGTAAATAAGCCTATAAAATGTATTATAATATTTTTAAATATACCAGTTATGAAAACTTAAGTCTTACTTCGTCTCAAATATATACGTTAGTAGTTAGTCAAATATATATAGTAGTAGTAGTAGGCTAAAGTAGTTTAGAGCAAAAATAATTTTCTGTATATTTTTATGTGAATTTATTTACTGGTTTGAAAAATAGTTCCGATTAAAACTATTAATTTTTTATTTTCACCTGAAACTGCAATAATTAAAGATTTATCAATATTTCAACTAATTTAAATAAACATACTTCAGTGTTTTGAATTGTATGTTGTAATGGCGGAGTAACCTGTTGCATCGAACTTTCTTCATGACGGCCAAACACATCTTTAAACCTTAGCTGTCCATTGAACAGAATACTTAGATGGGTTTTGAGAGCAACCTTATAACGGTAAAAACAATACTGTAAAAGTTTTGTTCTAAAATCAGTTAGCACAATGAATAAAAAACGAAAAACGGAGTACGTAACGTGGATCTAAAAAGTCTTTTAAATCTTTGCCCGCTTCCCATGTCGGCTTCATCTACGGCTTGTGATGAAATACACCATAAGATCACGTGCAATTTTTCAACTACTAAACTATACTTGAGCTTACCTTCTCTTGAGCTCTCGACTACCGCACGTAGGAATCCGATCTATGACTACCTCAGGGCGAGTGACAGTAAAGTTCACGGACATTCCGAGACACGACTGCGAGAAATAACCTGTCACTGGCTCTCGATAACAGCCACCTTCCCGGCAATGTGTCCAGAGAGCACAGAATAGAACATTTCTATTCTGTGCTGTCTGAATGTGTCCCACACTTCACAATTAAAATTATGTAAAGTTTATACTCGTATAGTGATCTGAAAAAATCATTCTTTATCTTAAATATTTTGGTACATTTTCGCTAGCACATTTGTGTCATGGATGCACAAAATTCATTTCTCAGTTTAAACTGTAAATCTTTCGATTATTTTAAGTATACTCATTGACTAATTAACACATCCCTCGTTCTTCGTTGTAAAATTTGACACACCATTGACTAATTTACACATCGTTGTAAAATTTGAGCTCGTTTATTGTGTCTGGTTCATTTTGGTGACAATGGGTGCTAGTGTCAACGAAATTTTGTTTTACTATTATTTAGGGTTAATCTCATGATTTTTTTTGCGTTACTGTTTGGTTAGGCCGGACGCACACAGATCAAGCATTTCACCTGAAGCAAGTGTTGCGAGGCAAAATGTTTCACTGGGTACGAGCGCTCCATGTATTTCAATGGGACGCCGCACACTGATCAAGCAAACGTTGCGAGGCGCCTCGCAACGCCTTGAAACATTTGAGCAGTTGCTCGACGAATGGATCCCATACAGCACGATGTTTGATGTTTCAAGGAGCAAAACGTTCTGCGCATGCGCAAAACCCCTTCTAGCTAGTAAAGCTTAGTGGCTTTCAAAATTCAATCGACCTTTTGTTGTTCACGACATTATCAAATAATAATTTCTAACGATATCACTTACGTTATTAAAAACCCTTCCAATAAAATAGTGTAGCAAGTATTCGACAATAATAATTGTAAAATTCCCCTGGATCTGATTTAATTTCTGAGAGCATTAATGTCTATCATCTGCTGACAGTTTCTACGATGTGGACCAACACTGGGAGATGAACTACCATGAGGCTGCTATATTTCTAGAGGTAATAACTACAGAGTACAGAGTAAATCTGTGTGAAGAAAATACAATAGCTTTAGAGTTTGCGGATGTTAAAGATTGCAAGTGTCTGTGAAGATCACAGGTTTCTGTAGAGATTACAGATGTCTATTGGGATCGCAGGTGTCTATAGAGATTACAGATGTCTATTGGGATTGCAGGTGTCTATAGAGATAACAGATGTCTATTGGGATCGCAGGTGTCTATAGAGATTACAGATGTCTATTGGGATTGCAGGTGTCTATAGAGATTACAGATGTCTATTGGGATCGCAGGTGTCTATAGAGATTACAGATGTCTAGTGGGATTGCAGGTGTCTATAGAGATTAAGGATGTCTATTGGGATTGCAGGTGTCTATAGAGATTACGGATGTCTATTGTTTGAGTGAACCCCATGTTTTCTTTCTTAGTCTAGCATTTGCAAAAACTGACATAGGCTACAGTAATAGCTACGTTGACTTCCTCGTCACACATGTTAAAACAATACCGTAGATTACCAGTACAAATAATATTTATTTTTGCTTGAAACCAAATGCTGCATCATGCTTGAACCTCTTGCACACTGGAGAAGCAAAGAAACAAAACTCTTAAAGCAAATCGTTGTGCAACATTTTGCTTCAGGTGAAATGCTCGATCAGTGTGCGTCCCGCCTTAGGGACGAGTTAAAACTCAGTAACATGAAACAAATTGCATGATCCTGGGGGCACCGGGCGGTACCGGCAGAACTAACAAAACAATTGTCTCATTTTGATCCATAAGGATGACAAATTCTACTGGAAGTATGTTTAATCATTGACTATTGGAAAGGTTTATGGTTTATTCGTTGGTATAATGTTTTAGCTTTAACATTGTCATTTAAGTGTATTGTCACTGGTCAGTCAAAACAATACACTATATTGAGAGACAACGTACTGTACAGGTACTGGATGAATCGGAATATTCGTCGGAGTACAACAGAAGTCCGTTGAGTGGCAGCACCTCCTCGCCTCTTCCTACCAAACTACCTAGGATACCCACACATGTGGTAAGTTTCTTGAAATGTGTTTACTGTGGTTCTATATTATCATTGGGTTTTTCTCTCCCTATGTATCATATATTAAACACACTCCCTAAGGGAGTATGTTTAATCTATGATAGTATATGGAGAAAGTTTTCTGTCGTAAAAATTTTCGGGTTTGAGTTTTGGGAGGTAATTATTATGGGTTCCTCTGTCTCCAAAATAATACTAGATTATTGGTTTTCGAAGTGATATCTGTATGTGTTTGGTGATGTGAGCAGACTTAACAGACTACACAATGGTACGAATGTAATTACATTTGGTATGTGGTTAATAACCTATTGTATCTTCATGCATGTTTATAGCGATTATCCCATACCGTATAAATCAGATTTTCACCAAACGGTTCGATCGTTATTGATCCACATGCACTATTTTACGGTCCTTTCAACTCTAAACAAAATATAAAATTGTACATCTTCCAATGCTGTTAAGTACGGTTAAAAAGCTATTGTATTTTTTGGGGATTTAACTATAAAATATAATTTCTTTAGACAAGCTGCTTGAAGTATGTGTAGTAGGGGTGGGGTATGTGTCAGTTTGGTGATGCATTTGATTTTTACGAGGATAGGTTGGGACACATAATAACCTCACCTCACCAATAAAGATTATTTGATGTATGTATTTCCGAGTGGCAAGAACTAGAATAATTATTTTTTTATTATGAGATATTTTAAACCTTGTGGGTATGGACTTAGAGATTGTTACTAATTACATGCCTCGGTGGTAAACTAAGGAGTAATCAATTTCAGCAATTAAAATGATAAATCGTCATACACTTATAGAGCGCCCTTCCCGTTACAACAAAACAATGGAGAAACGGAGCCCTCAAGAAGGTTACTGCGATAGTGCGATCATTCATAGATAACAGATCAAGACCTGATTAGTTCCAGTCAAGATGTACTTCCTTCTCAATTAAATCATAACCTCGATTAGATATTAAGGACGTTTCATAACTGAAGCAAAATAGTACGAATTGATTTCGTAATTCTTATTAGTCACTAATACCATCCGTCTTATAGTCAATGGTAATACAAAACAATGTAAAATTTTAACTTTTAAATCCTAAGTAATTGTTTCTTGGAATACGGTATTTGTGTATCAAAGAGCCCAAAAGTAAAACCTTGATAGACGATTAGAAGTCTTTCACGATAAAAAAATAAGACTTGTTAAATATCAGGGTGTGTGGGTGTTATATTGGGGAAGTTTTACTGAAACGAAATTTACAGTGAAGAACTCACTGTATGATACTACTATTAATCAAACAGTCACTTGTTTTCCATTGCTAGTTGATACATCATTAGTACCAATCGGACTCGGTTTTTTCAAAATTCCAAAATCTCAACCACATGATTCTGTGAATTTCTTACGTCATTGTCGTCATTCCGACGTATACACTAGTCGATGTGAAGTTATATGTCCCAACATCCCACGTGACCTATCACAAATCGTATAATCTATGTTGTGTCCTGCCTCGTTCGGTATAATAACGGCCTCCTGTATACAAGGCCGCAGCGAGAACAAAGTGGCAACGCCGCAGCCCCGTCCTAAACAGACACACCTGTTGCACTACCTTGGTAATAGATAGCTTCTGCGCATGGCAATAGACCGGCCGGTGCGACGTTGCCACACCGACACCACGGCCTTGTATTAGATGAGGCTATTGTATAATCAACGACTCACTACCATTTGTTCTGCCTCAGCTCGTCTACTGTCTAGTCAGTCCAGTTCACTCTAGTAGTCACAGCTGACCTCAGTCTAGTCCTAGTCCAGTCCAGTCACAAATTATCCACTCCGTGGATAAGCCTAGTTTCTAACCACATGTTTCACAATTAGAACGAATCCGCACTTCACCACATTGCAATTTTGCTACATTTTAGCCTGACTTGCGTGGGGAAACTGGCAAATCTAGAATTTCTGAAGAGTTGTTCTATGTTGCATTGAGAATCCTGGATTAGTTTCTACAAAATACTAATGTAATTGTGGTTAGCTCACTAAAAGTTTTGACATAAATATAATAATAATACAATATAATAATAATAATAAGTTTTTATATGAATAAATAACATGTTTATTTATTTCCCTGAAAAAATGTAATTGTTAGGAAATGTTTGATACCTACGCTCTTTTTTGCAGTCAATGCACGTTAGTGAATCATGTCTTATACACTGGGAGTCTTCAATTTAAATAATTCTCAATTTTGGACGTTTCGACATAAAAACCTGTTGTTATAGGAAATGTATGTGAATGGTAAATCGAGTCATAGGGTCTATTCAATGTTTTAATGTACATGTTTACATTTTCTACGAGTGCAAAAGGCCCATGTGGCCGAGGTAGCCTACTGTAACATCGTCCTTAAAGATGCCAATTTAAATGGATTTCTACAATCCATTCTTCAACAAAATTTTAAATACAAAAAAAGTAGACTAACAAGCAATTTAGTTAGAGCCACTATTCTGTTCCATCACTTCATCTTAGCTAAAATTGTCTTTGAAAATGTTACATAAGCCCTCTTGTCAACGTCAACCTCTCTTTTTCCGGTTCCACTCAGTGAGGATGTTGACGCAAGCAGGACAATGGGGACGACTGTCGACCTTGGGTTGATGTTAACTGTGCAATTATCGTGTCAACCCAAACGCCTTTGTGCGCTTAACATGCAAGAAAGACCGGGCGAGGCTAGGTTCCTGTCACTAGAGCTGATTAGGAGATAGGGCGTCAGGGACCGTTGACAACGAAATAGTTCTAAAGGTTCTACAAGGATATAGGGATGGATGTAGATGGTTCTACATTGATCTTGGAATGAATCCACAGTAACCTCCACAAGCTTTTGACTATAACCTCAACCTTTTCTGCAGAGCTGGTCTGAGCGAGAGCCAGAGAAGACTCCTCTTCCAGCAACTTCCCCACCGACTCCAGCATCCCGATGGGAGTTCCCCAGGGAGAAGCTGCGACTTCAGACACTCCTTGGTCAAGGAAACTTCGGACAGGTAAAATTCCAACCTATTGTTATGTAACTTATCTAGGTGTGGGAAACAAAATATCTGATCACACTAACATGAGTTGATTTAGATTTATAGAACAAGTTGTAGCTATTTATTCACAAAGAAGATTGTTGATTTAGCCCTTCACAGAGTGCAATTGAGTCTAATTATATTTTCACCCTTTTTTTTCTTCTTACTGTAATCGTTGATGTGACACAACAGATGCTATATATGCTTATAATCAGGGCTGGCGAAAGCCGTCACGGGCCCCTGGACTGAGCGATCCCGGGCCCCCTATTAACCTGATTCATCGATCATCCAGTCGCCACCGTGCTGTTGCTCACAGTTGCAACTTTATTCCTAGTCAAGACTTTTGAACAAATTAAACAATTCAAGTCAAAATTCACTTAGTCAACTGGAAAACCATACTAAAATTTTCGACTAGCAGATTACATGTACAGAAAGATTTTTCATTTGACCGGGCCGGGCCCCGGGCCCCATCAGAGCCGCGGGCCCCGGGGCATGACATCCCCTGCCCCACCCTCTAGCCGGCCCTGCTAATAATAAGTTATCGTTTCAGTTCAGTCTGCGTTTTAGACAAGAATCAGTAACTTGCATCACTGCTCTGACGGTGGCTATATTCAACTACAGTACATTCCTTTAAATACTTGAACTGGCAACAACTTTTAAAATGAGAAAGGAATGTCTAGGTCTATCCATTGTCAAACGTAGCACCCAGATTGAAATGCTAGGCATCAGCTTCTTTTAGACCCTCACTAGCCCAAATCAAAGTGTTTAACTTCTTTCTAATATTGTGCTATGTGTCTTGTAGGTATGGAAGGCAGAAGCTGACGACATATCTGGCCACGAGGGACTGACTCGTCTGGTAGCTGTGAAGACTGTGAAGGAGTCAGCCAATGTGAGGGAGAGAGAAGATTTACTGAGAGAGTTGGGTATCATGCAAGAGTTAGGATCACACCCTAATGTGGTCACACTGCTGGGCTGCTGTACGGAGAAAGGTAAAAAGCATTTTTTGAAGAAATTCAATTAAGCCTACAAACCCGTTTGGATACTACTATTACAATATGTTTTTACCAGTGAGGTGCAAGAGGTTTTAGGTTTGTTGGGGTCGTAAGGAGGAGAAACATTCCCCAGCAAGGAAGGGGTCGAGGAGGAGGGGACACAAATATGTTTGTTAGCATTTCCATAGCATGTCACATGCAAACTGTGGACCTGCAAGTGGATGTCGAACTAGGCCTTAAATTTAAAGGTTGCAGGTTAGAGGTTAATCTTGAATGAGATTCATTCTGGGCCCAGATATGTAATTTGTCATTGGGATATAAAGAAATTTGCTATACGACAAATGTTGATGTAAGATACTGTAGTATAGTAGGTACACAGAGAATTAAGGTACAGTACATAGGAAACATCCAATGGTCTACCATTGGGGCTTCAATGGTGGTTTCCTAAAGAGGTGTCTAGCACTAGTCGCTGGTGTTTAGGGCAAAGTCCAACACACCACCTTCCTCACCCTCATGTGTACTACAACGCTCACGTTGTAGGAAGACCCTGTGCCCCGTCCGATAGAAATTTCTGCATAGTGCTCGTTGCTTGGGCTCTTCATTATGTACGTCACAAAGTATATTTCTGATACAACATAGGCTACTACAGCTGAAAGTGCACGATTGACCCATACGCAAGGTTCATCTGTATCCTACTTCTTTGCGGATAATACTTTAACTTTAATTCTTTAATACTTTTTATTGAAATGGCGACCAAAAAAAGTAGGTGTTTTAAGCCACTATAAATGGAAATGGGAAATGGGATATAGGATTGATTAGTGGCACGATCTTGTAGTATTGTTAGTGCGGATAGTCCTAGTACTCACTAGTGCAGACGTTAATCCACACCAAGGGGTATCTCATCCACAGTATGCATGCCTATAAATATCCACAATTTGTGACCTCCTACTAGCTGGATTACAGGACGACGCCACCGTCCCAGTCTAGTAGTATCCTACTTCTGTGTATAATAACACGCTTAGGTTTGGCCCGCAACTGTACAAAGAAAACATTAGAAAAAATTCAGTAACGGTAACGTTGAAAGAAATCAGGATGTTTAAGCATTTTAGGTGTTGGCATAGAGTAACCGTATGTTTTATCAATGGTGTTAGGTAGAATAGTTTTGTTATTTTTACTATGCATCATCATTTACCCTAACACATCCCACTGTATGGTTCCAGAGCCCATATACCTAGTGATGGAGTATGTGATGTACGGAAAGCTGTTGTCCTTCCTGAGAGATCACCGGACCAGAGCTCACTATTATAACTTCTCAGACGCCACTGATGCACTCACTTCACGAGACCTTACTGTGTTCGGGTACTGTGTGGCCCGAGGCATGGACTATCTATCTAACAAGAGCGTGAGTGAACTTAGATAAAAACTTATATCTTTGTTTGAAGGATTTCGTGGTTAGTGTTATTGGAATATATAATCATCTTTTGGCACCAACCGTCAGTTTGAAATTGCTATCAGACATTTTGCTATTTTTTTTTTTAAGAGGCATCTATAGTGCTTTAACTGAGAATGAGCCTGACTCAAAATCTACAAATGGGAAGGATAGTTGACTTTCATATCATTTTACAGGTCTTGACAAAACTTCAAATTCACATAAAGAAAAAAGAAATCAGACCACTAATAACAAAATGGCAGCTAAAAATTACTTTTAATAACAAATGTCTTAAACATTTTTAGCTGCCATGTTGTTATTAGTGGTCCGACTTCTATTTTCTTTATGTCAATTGTTTAGTTTCATCAATACCTGTAAAATGATACTAAAGTCGACTATACTTACTATTTTAAAATTTTGAGCAACCCCCTACCCCCACCTCACTGAAGGGCAACATTTTCAAAATTACTCCATTATTACTGTAGCCCCTCTCCCTCATATATAAGATGGTTGCTGCAAACCGATTTCAAATATCTCAAATGGTTAAAGTTACAAAAAATTAAGGGGGTCAAGTTACTCTTCAGCCACCCTAGGGTATATATGTATTATAGTATAATATATTATACTGTATAGATTTACTCTTTTATTTACAAAAGTATTTAATTAGTGATTTTAAAATTAGCCCTAGAGAAAGAATTTTTCTCTTTCATGCACAATAGTTAGCACTCCCCAAATAACTTGAGCCATAAACCTTGACATTAATGGTACTGTACTACAGTACTTACTTGTCATATTTATTTTACAAAATATCCTACAAAGCTACATACCATTCATGAGCAAAGAGGACCTTATTATAGGACACCATTGTAGTTCACAGACACTACATACCGGTACATGAACAATATATCGTCTTCTGTTCCGGATATTTCCAGAGGTCTGATCAGTCTTCTCTTCTCCATTTTCCCTTCTTCTCCATTTCCACAGTTCCTCTTTCTTTATGCTCTCTCATCTCTTCTCCACACCCCTCTTCACCTCATGACAACCATCTTCTTGCTCTTCTTTTTGGTCTTTTTCTCTCCATCAATATAAAGAAACTAAACTTTTCTAGGAATTCTCTGAAGCGTCATCTTAAGGAACCTTTGACACACCTATTGCCTACACAGTGTTTCTGTTTAAAGTACTACTGGACCTTGGAGATGATTTAAGATGAAAGTAATTTTGTGTCAATGTTTCAGATCATCCACAGAGATATGGCAGCTCGTAATGTTCTTGTGGACCACAACAAGCTGTGTAAGATTGCAGACTTTGGAATGTCTCGGAATGTGAGAGACACCGGCCAAATATATGAACAAAGACAAAGCAAGGTAAAACCATAATAGCATAAGTTATAGTGCAGTCTTTGATATTATTTATTAGTAAACCCAAATTTAAGATATATAGGGAAGAGTATGCATAGTAAACATTTTTACAGTATTAAGTAGTTGTCAATATATGGTGAGAGCACCAGAACATGACGTGCTTGAGTTTTCACTTGATTTGACATGGGAATATAAGCAACAGTATAGGGAATAATAGTCGTCTAAATGTGTTGTTTGTATTCTGCGATACTTCTTTAAAGCTTAAATGTTCAAGCTGAGCGTTGAAAGATACTATAAATCACTACATCAGCGAAGGACCGCAGAATATTATGAAGCATTTTGTACTTACTTATTTTAGATAACCCATCCAATATTCTCAAGTCAAAGCTGGGCACCCTGCATATAATAAAAATAACCATTTCAGGATTGTCAAAATATAGATTCTAGTGAATCACCACTTTTCTACTAGTAAATTATCACAACCACAGAGCATAGAATAAATATAGAGGTGGCAATTGCCGTCTGGAGTGAAGCAGGCTTCTCGTACCAAGATGGCAGCCGGACCGGTCTGCATTTACATTTAAACCATTATATTGTTACCATGAAAACCACCAATCAATATTTACTTTTAAAACTCTCACCTCAGAACTTTGAAAGCCCGCGGGACAGAGTCCTAGGTCAATATCGAAGGGGGGATAGTTCTGTATCCTCGGAGCGGTAGCTTCATCTAATTCATAAAGTAGCATAGAATAACACAGTGGTAATGACGCCGTGTTTTCAAAGTTCCGAGCCCGGCTCTCTTACCAAGATGGCGGAAATTGGCTTCACTACTTGTATAGCTGTAGGTATAGGAGTGGCGACTCTATATTTATTCTATGCTCTGTGATCACAACCTTTTACCTACTATCTACCTCTAATTCTAATTTCTATACTTTACTTAAAAAAAAAAAAAAACTAATCTGACTTACCGACATGCCTGAGATGGCGTAGTTCGGGCCGCTGTTGCTACTCTGCAACAACACTGTTCAGGTAACGGTAGCCCCCATTAGGTGTATACTCTAGTATGTGTAGGCCTATACTCAATGATACTATGTTACCTCTACTTCCCATCTGAGAGTGTTGTATTGTTTTAGGGAGCCCTTCCTATCCGGTGGATGGCCCCAGAGTCTCTCCACTTCAGTCTGTTTACTCACAAGACAGATGTTTGGAGCTTCGGCATCCTCATGTGGGAAATAGTCACTCTAGGTAAGTGTACTGACTACAGATAGATTTCTCATCCATGGGAAAAAATCCGAATCTGGTTTTGATATTTACTTCACGCTGGGAAATACTTGGGTGTGATGATGCTAACAAAATATTTCTCTCTATTTTTAAGGTAAATTTTACAGTGAATACTTTGCTGGTAAAAAAAAACAAATAATGACATTGCAAAATAACATATTTTTTTATGACTGTCAAACAGTCAGTGGAGGAAGTAGTAAGGCACATGTAGGAATGGCGTTCCGACTCAGGTTTTTCCAAAGAACCTATATTTTACTTTACTTTTTCAATATACTTTGAAATGACCGTACAAGTGTAGGTATTTTAAGCCAAGTTTGAATGATGAGTGTAGGATGAGTGGCGCGATCTTGTAGTCATGTTAGTGACTAAGGCCGACATGTTCCAGTACCTTAGACACAGCTGTTAATTAATAGCCCATACAGCCAATGGCGACTAAGGGACCTACAGTTTATAGTGGAATCCGAACCACATTTTTGCCTTGTAACTAACAAATTGGTCAAATTATTAGGACAGTACTACGGATCGTCGTAGTACTCTCTAGTGCGGATGTTAATCCACACCAGGGAGTAACGCATCCACAGTTCATGTCTATAAATATCCACAACTCGTATTTGGTAAGCGAAAGCAACCAGTATTTTTCCACGACAATGGTGGGAGCTGGATATGATGTACAGCTACAAATGGTGGGAAAATTAAGGGGTTAGCAGAACAAAATATCTCAGGGTGGAAAATTTTGCAAGGCAAGAATAAGTATTTTATTTTTATTTAAATATCATTATCAAGTAGTCAGCTGATTACAGTAAACACAATTTGTTGTAGTTTTCACGGTAAAAATCATTGTACTCATAAAAGTGGAAATCTGTGGACAAGATGTTGAGATAGTTCTCAAACAAGAATTATGTTTTATTTTCCATGATATTTATGTTGCAAAGAAGTTATAGTATTAGTTTATTTCACATCTAGCTTATAATATCCATTAGCATAGTTTATGCTGGAAAAACCATAATGCACAGACCCAGATGGGAACAGTCTAAGACTCACACCAACTAAAATCCCAATTGAAGGCCATGGGAAATCAGGCTGTATGTATAATAAGATGTCTCCATGCCTAGACTAGACTGTGTTTCTTGTGTCCTAAGACATCACAGGACTTATAGAAGTTAAAGGTCATCAAGGCACATTTTGCCTCACTAGAAAAAGAGGACTGAACATTGAACAACTGCTCCCTAATTATCCATTAACAGTGTTCTAAACATCATCGAGACATTTTAATTTGAAAACTAGGGGACCCATGCTCAAATGGTTTATTCCAATAGAGTTCAAACTGGGTTTGACCTTTCAAGGATCATGTTCATATAAGAACTAGGTTAATAGAACCACTAATTTACAATAGATTCAGTTTGTTGATTGTAGATCTAGAACATAAGGAATGATTTTCCTACCTCACTCCTTATGAGTGATTACCTAACTCATTCAGGTTGCAATCATAAAGTACTTATAAATTAATTATAATCATAATTATTATTATTATTATTAATAATAACTTAAAATTAATTTTCATAAACTGTTTTTTCTATTGCTTACAATCTAACTGTGGTTACACAATGTTAAATTAAAATTTACATTTAAAACCATCATAAAGTTGGTAAGCATCACTGGATCTTTAAAAGTGAAGTCAATAAATCAACCAAACAAATGAGAGGCTATGCTCCAAAAGAAATAACCTTTTCAGTTATCATTTGTCACTCCGCTAGATCATAAGCTTTACACTTCAATTGTAAACATCAATTAAGTATGTCGGCTAAAAAAAAAGGATGTTACAGAGCATCCCTTATTGTATTAACGATATAGATTCATCTTTTCATTGTCAACAGGTTCAACTCCGTATGCCACTATGGGGGCCAGGGAGGTGATGAGGAGAGTGAGGGATGGCTACAGACTAGACAGACCATCACACTGCAGACCTGAGCTGTTCAGGGTTATATCCAGGTCAGTAACACCATTAGTAGACATAACATCTACATGGAACCAATCACACCACACTTCTGCGAGAGTTACCAAGGTGTGCTTCAAGCTTTAGTGTGACCATTAGGTTAAATAATGTTCATGTGATGTAAAGGTAATAATTAACTCTCTTCAGAGGTGCCCATCCCCCCTAAACCCAGAGGCGCAATCCCCCCCCCCCCAAGCCAAAGGAGTAGTCCCCCCAATTTATGTTGTCATCTATTTAAACCTACCCTCCCCCCACCAATTTATCTGACAATTTTCCCTTTACCTCATAAAACGAGTATTTAAAGTATTTTAGTAAACTTGAGGTACAAAAAACAAACTTGCTGATTGAGAATCAAAATTAAATGTTTAATAGGAAACGTCATTTAACAATACATATCTAACTAATGGTTGAATTAGAAGTTTTCAATTTACAAAATTCCGAATTTGTATTGTCAGCCAACATGTGCTCAGTATTGCTATAGACAACGTCTTCAACACGTTCACGTTCAACAGTATACTAGGTGAATTACTACTCCAAGCCAACACAGTACTGTAACTGTAAAATATTTTAAGTGGCGTTAATGTTTAGAGGGCTTAATAATTCAAACAGCTTTAAGTGTATTAATAATACTTTGGCAAAAAGTAGGCTATCTTAATTGTTTCAAAATTATAGGCAGAGTCACGAAATAAGCCAGACTTGTTGCTCGCCACTTCCAGGCACCTTCTACAAAAATCGCCGGGCAAAATACCATGCCACCAGAACAAAAGGTTTTTGTGACGAAGTAATCTTATAATTCATTTTTATAGCCCCAGGTTTGCCTTTTATGACTATTAATGGTAGAAACGCATCTTGTCAGACAATCCGTTTGTACACAAAACGCGAAACGATAACAGATAGGCCTATCAATTCACGCGTGTATAATGCCGCGGGCAGGACTGGAAGTAAACTGAATCAGGTTATGATGGAAAGACGTGGTCTCTGGATTGTCGTCTGCGTTATCAAAAGCTGATATTGGACTAATTATTGTAGTGACGGAGGAAAGTATGTTGAAAATATAATGGGATTCACAATTGAGTTTTCCATTCAAAACTATTGACAATAATAACCAATTTATATGCTGGATATAAATGATGGTCTCAAAATTTTACAGTACTGCACGAAAGGAAATTTATTAAATACTTTGAGGAGTTTGAAATATATGAATACATAAAATTGAGGACAGCACAAAATTTTTGAGTGAAAACACTCAATTAATTATGAAACCCATTATATTTTCAATAATCTTCTCAGTCCATACAATAGTCCAATATCAGCTGTTGAAAACGCAGACGACAATCCAGAGACCACGTCGGTCCGCCATAACCTGAACCCGATTCAGTTTACTTCCAGTCCTGCCGACGACAATGTACACGCGTGAATTGATAGGCCTCTGTAATCGTTTCGTGTTTTGTGTTAAATGTTTGTAACGTATTCTGACGACACCTCCAGAAGGGGATCTTTTGTAAATCCTGACTATGGTGGAGTTAAAGAACCAACAAAACATATGTAGCATGTAAAATTCGACACTGGCATGTTAAGGATTGTCTGACAAGGTGCTTTACCATTCTTAGAAGCAATCTTAATTACGAACGGCAAAATGTTGTTGGTGTTGATAGTGAGCTACTTTTAGTGAGAAACACTTTTTCGGACTGCTTGTACAAAATTATATAGCCATTATGACAGCTAGCAAAAAATAAATATCCCCCCCCCAAAATCCCTTAAAAAAGCCCCCCCCAAAAAATTCCTGTGGCGCAAACGCGCCACAGTACCCCCCCTCTGGGCACCCCTGACTCTCTTCTTCCAAGAGATAGGTACAAGGTTGAGGATTCCTATACTGTCTTAGTCTATATGTCTGGTGTGCAATCATTAGAAGTTTTGTCTATGCTAGAGGCCCATCGAAAATAAACATTGGACGGCTGGGGTAGAAGTTTAGAGGATGGGTGATTTATTTGTGAATTGCTCCAAATAAGTATTATGCATTCCTTAATTTACAATGTTTCTTCAAAATGCGTAGATAATTCAGTAATTCACCTGTTATACCTTTTTCCAAATAAGTGTCTTTTACAGATTTCTAGAAATGCTTATGGGAACAATGGCAAAAAAGTGTTTTATTATGGTAACAAATTTGTTTCAATGTTTTCATGAAAACAATGTGTTAATCACAGGTGCTGGCATTCTGAGCCATCCAAGAGGCCAACTTTTGCTGAGCTCAAAGTCGAACTTGGAGCTCTTCTCAGTGATCCTGAGCTTCACGGGAGCTTTGTTGACTTGGACAGTTTTGCTGATGAGATGAGGCGAGATACGCTTCATAGGCACCACTGAAAACTAAGCTAACTCTTTAAGTTGTTTCCATCTGATGGTTTATGAGTTATTGTTGAGTGTAGTCTAATTATTTACAGGAACAAAAAAATGTTTATTAAAAAAATTGTTTCTGGGAAACGTGTGCTGTATAAAAATGGGATGCCCAGCTTTTACTTTTAAAACCGATCACTAATTAGCAAATAAGCTTAAATTACTCTAAAACATTATAGAAATTAAATAATAATAATTATTTTCCACTTTTAGTTCCACTAGACTTTGTGATTAGAATTTGTTCAATGAAATTCATCCTATTTCATTCATATTATTTAAAAATATTAATACAATCTATTCGGTAAGTTTTCCAAAAACAATGACACCAATGAATGAACACACATAAAAGCTACAAAATCTGTAAAATAATGTAGTTTTAAAATAGTAGGTACAACAAACAATGGATTTAATCACTTTCATACAATCCTTAATTGAAAATGTTAAAAAAAAGTACAGGAATCAATGTTAATAATCATTTTCAGATGGAAACTTCTAATTAAACAACACTGTTCATTATCTTTTTGTACTGGAAGTTGTATTCTGTTTGAGTTTAAACCTTTTCTTGTTCAATTCTGTGTACGTTTAAAATATGTAAAATTGCCATCGTAAAATCATCAATACCGGTATGTCCTATGAAAAACCTTTCTTTTTAAAAATATTACAGACTCAGTTTTAACACTGAAACAAGATTTTACACCTTTAAAAAATTTACAAGTATTCTTTATATTTGAAAATTGCCATAATAATTTATGATCAATGTGAAAGTCTATGTTCAGAAAACTTGATTGTAACCGTTTACACTAAATGCATCCGAATAATCAATTCATTATTACAATTTTAGCCAAACAGATAATGGACAGTTTTGTGTTATGTACAGTATTATTATTATTTAAATTAGTTTATATACTCATTCAAACTTGTAAAAATATGTATATAATGAAAGCCATCTTAATTTTAATCACTGTTAGTTTATTAGTGGTAAATATAGTTTTATATTTATTCTTTTTCACTTTTGATGTTATTAAGTATGTACAAAATACTACTATTCTGGTAAGAAATACAAATCAAAGTTCATTTTTATTTTTAAGATATTTTACAAAATATGACAATATAACCTTACACAATAAAAAGGTGAGAATAATTATTATTCGGTTTTAATTGATTAATGAATCAAATCATTTTCAAATATACCCATTTGTAAAAACTTATGAATCTATATGGGGAAATACTCTTCTTCTAGTCTATTTTAATGTATTATTTTTACCAAAAATTGTGTTAACGATGTATTTTTAATAAGATTGTTTGTGTAGCCATTTCATACATTAACAGCTTTTGTACATAATACTATTTCGGCCAGTTGTTTTGTGTTGAAATATAAATGTATAAAGAAATGTGTTTTTCTTTTAATTTCATCACTTCCAACTTAGATATTATAAGTTAAAAAAAAATTATCGTCAGTATAAAACTTTTCTTATGAAATATTTTGATGAAACATCGTTATGGTGTGCATCCCTTTGGACTGACCTACTATTGCATAAAAACCAATGGTAAGAATATAAATATTTTCTTACTATCAAAGATATTTTTATATCAATACAACATATCACCAAAATGAAAATACAAGTGTTGTTTGTAAATTAAGGAGCTCTTGCTGCTATAGACTGAGCTCTAGATGGTTCAAATCAAATACTTGTGCTAATAATTGGTACCCACCCTATGCAATGCTCAATAACCTGGTTGTAGCCAGTAATGATGACAGGGAATTAATAAGAATGCCAAAATCGGATGGTGAGAATAAATGGTTAAAAAGTGATGAACTTTTTTTAGTTTTTTGTTTGTCTCTAAAGTGTGCTGAAGAAGTTTTTTGTCCCTTCTTACTTTCAATACGGATTGATTAGAACTGTAAAGCACCAAGCTACAGCAAATGAACATAGTAAATAAAAGTCCTTTTGGAAAAAAGTCTTTGTACATGTACTTTGTATGTTCTTAAAAACTTTATTCGAACAGTAATAATGCATAATAACCCAATACAAACTGACCAAGTTGTCTAAAGACTATATTATGTTAGTAAAATTAAAGTAGTAGTCACAAATTTTACATTTAGGTAATTGTTTCTGAGTTAAATACCTCCCATTATACAAGGATAAGTCAATACATTTTAGTCAGACAATACAGTTTATTTTTGTAGTACCGTACGTAAATGGTTTCCTCTTGGTATTTTTATTTACAGCTATGTGTTGTATACTACCCTCTTTCCATTTAAATCAAGTATTCCAAATTTCTTGTACAGTCTATCATTCTCTAATAATTCTTGCTAAATGTGAATTTTAATTTTTTTAATTAATATATTTGTATTTTGTTAGAGACCCATTTAAAAAGTCATTATTTGTAAACCAATCTAATTGAGAATGCTTTTCAAAGCTTCACCTGCTGAGAATCCCTTTCTAGCTTTAGAAAAAGAACCATCTATCATCGGAGTCTCAATAAAAGGCTCCTTCAATGGCTTTTCAAATGCTTTCTTTATAAAACTGTCCGGAGACTCAAACCACCAAGGCTGAAAGTCTTGCTCATGAGAACTAGATTTTGAAGCATCATTCTTTTGATTTTCTGGCCTGGACTTATCCTCTAGTTTGTTGGTATTTTCATAGCTATGAGGTCTTAACTTGAATGAAATTTGGTCACTTAAGTCAGAGCTGCGTCCAGGTGGTGATACCGTTGTTATTGTAGGTCGAGGAATAGAGTCCAGCCCAGCAATTCTTTCTTTGAAGTAAGACGGTTTTGTAGTAGGCTTTTTCAAGGGTTCATTGTTATTCTGCCTGATTCGTGACATGGCTAGATCCACATCGGATTGTTTCAGCTGCCTTTCATGAGAATCATTTTTGTTAACATTTCCTGATGGTAGCTCATTGTTAATGGATGTTTCAGAGGTATTAGAAAACTTTTTCACTGCTGCTTCTTGGATTTTCTTCAGAAGAGATTTAAGATCAAAATTGTTTGTTTCACTTTGAGTATCATGTTGCTCATTTTTAGAATCAGTTTTGGGGTCTAACTGGTAAAAGTGTGGTTTAACCTTTAACACATTTTCATTTGGCTGGGATGTTCCTTTGTTGGAGTCGGTTTTGTCTTCTTTCAGATCCTTAAGCCAAGAAAATAGGGAATCGAAATCTGTTTTCTTCTCTGGTTGCTCTTTTGGTTTTTCTTGTTGGTTTTGGATCTTTTCATTTTCATTCTTACCAAAGACACTTGATAGAAAAGACTGGTAGTCCCATTTATTTTCCTCGTCCTGTTCTTCCTTCTTTGTCTGTTTCTTCACTGGACTTGGTAACGGTATAGGATCTGATTCTTTAACTCTACCCTCCACAATGTCACCCAAATATTGGAAGAACGCATCCCGCCTAGCAGACTGATCAGGGTTGTCAAGATCTTTGTCAACCATGTCTTGATCCAGATCAAAAGCTTTCAAACTCCTCCTCACAAGCTTTTTCAAAGCTTTTTTGCCATACTCATAAATTTCATCCTCATCAAAGTAATGTGATAAATCAATTTTCTTTTTGCGTTTTGTGATGTCCTTACCTTCTTCATCTACGGAATCTTTAAATACAGATCTTACTTGATTTAGTGCGTAGTTAATTATATCATCTTTCTCGGCTGGTGATAACGGTGACTTTTTGTAGAAGTCATCATTTTTTATTAGTTCTTTCACTGAGTTATTGATCTCTTTGATATCCTTCTGATCATTTCGCCCTTGCGCTGTAACTGACTGCCTACCCGGGTAAGTTTTCCCAGAATCACTATCATATGTATTGTCCTTGGAGTAATTATTGTTATTTTTCAGCTCTCCTCCTTGTTCTTGGTTTGACCCATGGTTCATCAGCTTGTTCCAGATAGCTTTATATGCATTGTTAACTACCCTTTTACCGTCCTGATTCTCAGTCTCTGGTAAAGGTTTGCTCTCAGGCCTCATGTTAAATGATATAGGCTTTGCATACTCTTCCGGAGACATTTCCTTGTATGGGTTGAGAGCGAAGGAAATTGATTGACTTCCTGGGAGGTGTCTTTCTCCTCTTCCACTCAGATCTACTTTCCCAAAGTCAGGATTGAATGACATGACATCATATACCAATCTTTCATCGTCTAAATTCTTTTCCAACAGTCTATGTAGTTTTCTGATGCCATATTCTATTACTTTCTCTTTTTGATTATCAGTAAGGGAGTACATTTCATTGAACTTATCGTCATGCAGTTTCTTGTTAAGTTGTTTGATCAGTTTTTGAGTTCCGTAGTTTAATATATTTTGTTTGTGTTCTTCAACCATAGCTCGTTGTTTTGCAGTCAGTTCAATGGGTTTGTTTATATTACGAATACTGTAAGCCAAATCCAACTTGTCAGGCTCTGCATCTTCTTCCACTCTCTTCAGATATTGCCCATCTTTAGTCTCGTAGGCCACAGACTTGGAGCCTTCTTTATCATGATGTTCTTTTATTGCATCTATTTTCGCTTGGGTCTCAGTGACTTGATCTCTCAGTTGTTGCATCATCTTTTCCTTTTTCGCACTTTCAGCCCACAGCTTGAGGTCACTCTCATCTAGCTTCCGCACAATCCCCGACCTAAATCATATTATTATATAATTTAGTAAAAATAATAATATAACTAAATATAATACAATTGAAGCCAAAGAATTTGCTTACAATTATATTAATTAATAAAGTTAACATTATAAAACATTTCCACAATATCAATTATTAATATTCTAAATTATATTCAGAAAAGTATAATTTATCTTGAGTTCATTGGTAAAGAATACCAATTCCTATGGAAGCTAACCTTCTTGAAAAATTAAACTACATATAAGTTAAATTTAACATTCTCTTCAGATCCAAGGCAATTTGCAATTACATGGAAAAGAATAATAATTTGGATAACAATATTTCTTTAAAACCAAAACCAAGAAGTATAAGACTTGTTACTTGTCCATCCTGTATACGGAGACTTGGCGCTGTCCAGTCTTGTGATCGGTTGTTGTGACGGTCTTGGTGACAGTTCCATCAGGGTTGAGCAGCTCGTGGTCCTCTGTGATGAGGTCTCCGTCTCGTCTCACAGTACGCATCTCTTTCGGAGACTTGGCTCCCTGAAACATCAACATGTGATAATGTCTTGTGATCAGTTGTTGTGACAGTTCCATCAGGGTTGAGCAGCTCGTGGTCCTCTGTGATGAGGTCTCCATCTCGTCTCACAGTACGCATCTCTTTTGGAGACTTGGCTCCCTGAAACATCAACATGTGATAATGTCTTGTGATCAGTTGTTGTGACAGTTCCATCAGGGTTGAGCAGCTCGTGGTCCTCTGTGATGAGGTCTCCATCTCGTCTCACAGTACGCATCTCTTTTGGAGACTTGGCTCCCTGAAACATCAACATGTGATAATGTCTTGTGATCAGTTGTTGTGACAGTTCCAGCAGGGTAGAGCAGCTTGTGGTCCTCTGTGATGAGGTCTCCATCTCGTCTCACAGTACGCATCTCTTTTGGAGACTTGGCTCCCTGAAACATCAACATGTGATAATGTCTTGTGATCAGTTGTTGTGACAGTTCCATCAGGGTTGAGCAGCTCGTGGTCCTCTGTGATGAGGTCTCCATCTCGTCTCACAGTACGCATCTCTTTTGGAGACTTGGCTCCCTGAAACATCAACATGTGATAATGTCTTGTGATCAGTTGTTGTGACAGTTCCAGCAGGGTTGAGCAGCTCGTGGTCCTCTGTGATGAGGTCTCCGTCTCGTCTCACAGTACGCATCTCTTTTGGAGACTTGGCTCCCTGAAACATCAACATGTGATAATGTCTTGTGATCAGTTGTTGTGACAGTTCCATCAGGGTTGAGCAGCTCGTGGTCCTCTGTGATGAGGTCTCCATCTCGTCTCACAGTACGCATCTCTTTTGGAGACTTGGCTCCCAGAAACAATTAACATGTGATAATGTCTTGTGATCAGTTGTTGTGACAGTTCCATCAGGGTTGAGCAGCTCGTGGTCCTCTGTGATGAGGTCTCCATCTCGTCTCACAGTACGCATCTCTTTCGGAGACTTGGGTCCCAGAAACAATTAACCTGCAATTAACATTAATCTGACAAAAGAATCAGCCGATCTTTACCAGTAACAAAGCTCTAATCTAATAAGTTAACTCACCATTTACTTTGGATACTAAAAAGAAACTCTATCTCAATATGTATGGAGCATAAAAAGTGGGCGTAGAGATGATATCCCTGTAAAAATGGTAATGGCGATTGCCCTGACATGCTTTGAAAGAAAAATAACCGCAGATTTTATACAAGAAATAAAAAACAAAGAACCCCCTGTTTACATGTCTTATGAGGAAAAGCGGCTGTCGCCAATTGGTAAGCAGTGACGTCATAACTAAATTTTGCCTGTACTGTACCATTGACTGGCTAACCTTCTAAACTCCATTCACAATCTTGATCCCACCTTTATGGACCAGCTGTCACTATTTCTTTATTTAAAAAGAAACTTTATTAAAAAAGAACTTAATGGAGTGAGGCATCCAAAGATGGGCTTACAACCAAAAATTACATTTTTCTATATATTAGTTTTTGTTACAAAGATAGTTGATATGACAGAAAAGTTGCTATAGACAGACTATAAAGCTTTGCTATAGAAAATATGCTATTAGTCGTCCAATCAGTTGGTCTTTGGTTAAAAGGTTGGCTTGTTTGAAGAAATGAGCAATGTAGATTAGTGCATTCTGTTGGTAGTTCAATTCAACCTAGTCCATTTTGATTCAAGACTTTCAGACACCTTAAACATGGGGATAGAATGTAGAATGTATAGTTCTGTTTAAAAAAGTCCTGACAAAAAAGAGCTGATTTTTCTCAGTTACAAAGTTCTAATATCTCATCCATTCAAAATTCATCCTTGCCATAGAATGTGGACCATGATGTGACAGTGTGGGAATTTAATCTAAATTGAACCTAATGGGGGATATATCGGAATTGTAGAGTTTCTCATAAAGTAACTACAACACATTTACATGGGTTTAACCAAGAAAAAAGTTATGAGGTTTTAGAAAACTGCCACCAATGATATTTTTTAATTTTGCTATCACATATTCAACACATAACAAACTCCAGAAATATTTACTGACCCAAATGACAGAAGAGGAAGTTTTCATTCAAGTGCACACAGTTGTCTTCTATCACTTACTATTATATTGAATATTTATTTTAGAGCAGGAGAGGAAGCGGAGCGAGTGCTATCCTATTTTTTTGCTGTGGGGTTCATAGACTGTCAAAACCCAGGTTGGCCCGTGTCAGTTGACTCCCCAGAGCGTAAAAGCGATTCAGGGGAGAGGTAATAGTGGAAGGGGGTGTCGTGGGCAGGATGTAACGGAAACCGGGTACAGTTTCTTAATAGGGCAACCCTAATATAGATTGAAAATATTGATGTGATTAGTAAACTTTCATTCAAGTTTTACACAGTTTCGGTTAGGTTAGGCTATAACAGTTTCATGTTATCCCCCAAACAAGTTTTACTCATCCTGCACCCCTAGTCGATCTTTTCACCCTTATAACCGCCACACCGTAGAGTCATCAATTGAGTTGGAGACTGGAGACGCCACCTAGGTGTGTATTTTAACCCAAATATGAGAGAAGGTTGAGAGTAGAATGAAGTAATATGATCTGTGTAGTGATTGAGTTGGAGACGCCACCTAGGTGTGTATTTTTAACCCAAATATGAGAGAAGGTTGAGTATAGAATGAAGTAATATGATCTGTGTAGTGATTGAGTTGGAGACGCCACCTAGGTGTGTATTTTAACCCAAATATGAGAGAAGGTTGAGTATAGAATGAAGTGATATGATCTGTGTAGTGATTGAGTTGGAGACGCCACCTAGGTGTGTATTTTAACCCAAATATGAGAGAAGGTTGAGTATAGAATGAAGTAATATGATCTGTGTAGTGATTGAGTTGGAGACGCCACCTAGGTGTGTATTTTAACCCAAATATGAGAGAAGGTTGAGTATAGAATGAAGTAATATGATCTGTGTAGTGATTGAGTTGGAGACGCCACCTAGGTGTGTATTTTAACCCAAATATGAGAGAAGGTTGAGTATAGAATGAAGTAATATGATCTGTGTAGTGATTGAGTTGGAGACGCCACCTAGGTGTGTATTTTAACCCAAATATGAGAGAAGGTTGAGTATAGAATGAAGTAATATGATCTGTGTAGTGATTGAGTTGGAGACGCCACCTAGGTGTGTATTTTAACCCAAATATGAGAGAAGGTTGAGTATAGAATGAAGTAATATGATCTGTGTAGTGATTGAGTTGGAGACGCCACCTAGGTGTGTATTTTAACCCAAATATGAGAGAAGGTTGAGTATAGAATGAAGTGATATGATCTGTGTAGTTCTTTTACTGAAACAGATCAGCTGTTCCATTAGTCAGGATCATTTGCCCAATGATCAGGGTCAGATGGGCCCGGTTTTGAACAATAAAAAATCTACTGACAGGATCTAACCAGCAACCTTGATTGGCGAAGGTGAGCACTATAAGCACTCAGCTACTACAAATACCACAACTTTTGACACTACTCTAAATAAATATTAAGGACATTATATTTAGTTTAGGACCAACTGTGGATACTCTACGTTAACAGATTAGTTAAAACTTAAGATCTTTAAGTTTTCTAAACAAAAACTGAAACAATCATTAAAATTGTCGCTCATAGCCTATAATTATGATACTATGATGATAACACAATCTTCAAAAATCGTTGAATACCTCAAAACAGTGTACTATAATAAACCTAGTTAAATGAGTAACGGTAACCTATTTAAACAAAATGTATTTAAATACTTTGACAAAGTTTAGATTCATTTCGAAAAATTTATCATATTCAATGGAAATAAAAATAAAAATGAAAATTATCTTACAATATTTGTATCCATGTTTTCCGCTTATGATCAACTATCTGTACTCAACGCTCCTCTAACTAAATCTGGCTTGATGTTACAAATATGATGAAACGTAAAATTATCTCAAAACAAGCAGTAAAAAATAATGTTTACTCAGATAACTAAAGTAATGAATGCAATCCAAACAGATTCATTTGATGATAATTTCTCTTGCAAATTGTTTAACAGCAATTCAACTAGACATTCATTTGCTTTAATTGATAAGATACGTAGCTTTATAAACAACAAACGAATCTCTTATTATTTTTTTGTTATTGGTACAAGATGTTTTAAATTCCAACTACGGTGAAAAATTATGGGCTAAGCCAGAAGGAAAATCAGCTGTTAAAACATATTCCAACGTTGTAGTTACTTAGCAACCCTAACAATAAAAAAAACGTGCATAATATTATCATAGACAAAAAGAATTTAATATAGACCGTCAGCTGTGCTCCGGTTACGCACATCGCTTGGAGCGCCGTGTAGTTAGCTACGTAACTACACGGCGCTCCAAGCGGTGTGCGCCAGAACCTATGGTAACCGTAGCACGGCTGACAGTCTATATTTAATTTTTTTTGTCTATGATATTATTAAGTTATTCATTGGTTACCATTTATTCCTGAGATGAGATGATAATCTTTTTTGGTTTAAGATGACAGTGATTATGGGTACGGTAACAATGACGTTCGCTAATCTTGGGCCCTATAATTTTGCGTGACCTATACTATTGTAATCAATAGAGCTAATAAAACGGCAGGGACTATATTAGTGTGTTCATTTAAGAAATACTAATGTCACATTTAATGTGACTAATTTAGCTTAATCTATATTTATAAAAGAGGAAGTTTGTATGTATATATATTTGAACGTTATGGACTCCGAAACCGCTCCACAGATTGTAATGAAACTTTCAGGCATTATTAAGCATTATTCAGGGATGGTTTTTGTGAAGTTTGGTGCAGATCCGTCAAAAGGGCTCCGCCCCAGTGGTTCTGGAGTTTCCCATGTTAACCTTATGAGTACTTGTATTTAAATGGAATTAAAGAATCTTAACAGCTGGTTCAACTAAACAATTTGATTCTGTGATGTTCAATAGCGTTAAAAAGTTAATAGGTTTACCAACAGGGTGTAGCACAATTATTTTTTTAAATTTATGACAACATCTAACTTGCAACCATAAGGTGAGTGAGAGTAGCGAACGAACTTCAACCTGGAGGCGAGTTAGCGTAGCGAACGAGCTAAACCTGAATGCAAGTGAACGCAGCGAACGAGCTCCAACCTAAAGGTGAGTGAGCGTAGCAAACGAACTTCAACCAGGACGTGATTGAGCCATGCGAACGAGCCAATCTTGAAAATGAACGAGCATTTGACATAAAACCACATTAGGACAGGACGACGTCTGTCGGGCCAGCTAGTTGCATATATAAGTGTACATAATTTCCCTTCAAGGAATTGGCTGTTACCATTGAGTAGCAGACAATTTTTTTCGCAGAAATTTCTGCATACAATTTATTCTCTACACAGTACTCAAATAACTTGCCTTTAATCGGCGATAGTCCCCATTAGTTTCTTTTTACTTTCTCTACATATGCAAATATTATAATGTATAGAAAGTATTGTTTTCATAATGGTTTTCACACCTTTAGTCCAATTTTAACAACATTTTCTATGTAGCTACTACTCTGTAGTGTCACCAGGTGATTTTAAATTTAGATGTTTAATGGTGATTTTCTCATAAAAACCCGTAAAATAAGGAAAAAATCAGATTTTTACAAAAACTAACAGAACAATTTTGATTACGATTTAGTACATTGTGGTTCTTTTGATCTCAAACAAATTAGTTCAACCCACATTGCAGCAAAGATTACGGTTCAAAAGTTATTTAAAGCTTTTTTGATTTTCCCCATTAAATATATATTTACTTTAACCACTTAACATAAGGGTTGTTGACAAGCTAATGGGAGACATTATGTGTCAACTTGCTAATAAAATTTATTTTGTTGGTTTTTAAAGCAAGTGGCATCGTAGTTGAGAGCGCTTTAAGCAAAAACGATACACACCCCTTAAAGTTATATGTCGAGGATTGAACCCACGTCACCACCAATATCCGAGAGAGTAACAACTATCCTAGGAACACATAGATTTTTTTTCAAACCGAACCGCAACAGTGCTATTCTCCTGTACAATACCCATGTCTGGCCACCATGAGAGACCATACCTCGGGGCTTCTACGTATTGAGTGACAACTTATGCAACCACAAGGCTCAGTTTCATTTGGACTTTACAGGGCTCTGGACACTAAAAGATAGGTGAGTAACGACATTGTATTCTGATTTGGTTATTAAATAAGAGGTATATTTAATTTTGATGTTTTACGGTTAGTTTTATTTGCAGAGTAAAATACAGTACATAATTTCACTATATTCGTCAATAACGGTTGAGCTACCCTCTCGTAATTGGGTTTTTATTTTGTGTCCCTAGTTAAAAAAACGACAAAATTAAATTATTTTAATAATGGTGTAAATTACTGGAGAGAAAGGACAATACTTAAGTTTTTAGATTCACGTTTAGCTACGTTTTTTGATAGTTTTCATTTCCTTTTGAATTATTTGTGTATATTTAGAGGGCTCGTGCATTAACTGCATGAGGCCAGGAATATTTAAGAAAAATTGATACATAAGATAACCTTATTTTATACTTTAAATTAAAATAGTTTTATAACTTATAGTTTTATAACAAATGACTCAATCTAGATATTTACTACTGATTGAAACTTGAATACTTGGGATTATAGTGGTCTATCAACCATTGATTTAGATCTTCAATTAGGTGTCGGACCTTAACAAGACTACGGAGATAAATAATCTAACAAATTCTTTGCTTATGAGCTACTTTAAAATAAAATATGTTCTAAGTCAATGGCCAAGTAGTCTTATCATAACATGCATCATAAATTATTATACGAAAATAGTATAAAGTAGATACCTTTCAATAGTAAACAAGTCTTAGAAGGAATTTGAGTTATGCAGCATATGCAACGAAATTTATCTAAGACAGATACAGATAGCACTCTGGTGTGATTTTAGTGACGGTGGACTAGCATTTATTTATTTATTTACGGTAAACACCATTTTACAATATTATTATGCGTTATTTGTATACAACGATACAATTATGAAACCCCCTCTCTGAACTAAAAATTGTAAATATAAAGAAATTGAATGAAAAAAGGTTATCCAACTTATAATATAAAACGTTATAAACTTAGTATTTTTATAATTATGAAACGTAAAATTATACTTGACTAATATACAGTAATATGTGTAATAGCATATATTATCAAATATATGATATCACTCATAATTTTTATTGCCACGCCTTGCAAACCTTGTTTTGTTGAATCGTTTTGCTTTGTATCTTTCGACTGTCAATCCTGTATTATCCAGTGTAAATTACTGATACAATCAGTTTACAAGAACTTTTCATTAGACGAAAAAAATCCTAGGCTGAACCACAACTTTACAACAATATTGTCAGCATGATAATTTTATATAGTGTTGAGTATTTAATTAACAGATTTATTTAATAGTTTACTTAACTAGCAAATGTTTTATTGTCGTTTTTAAATAGCGTAAAAATTAAAACAACAAACAGTAGAATGCCTGCGTTTTCAACTTTGCCTTGCAATGCATTGAAGTACTGCGGTTGGTATCTTGACAAGGTACGGTGTGTATTCTTAACACATTCATTGAATTCGCATTGTGTATTCGCATTGTTAACATTGAATTTGTTCATATTTTGAGTTGTTTTTGTCTCTGGATCACAGAACAAACTATAAAAGGTATAAAATTACCTGAGTACTGCCAGAATGATCCTGTTGGTCCTTACGGATAACGCGTTTCGAGGAGCTTAAGTCCTCATCATCAGATCTTGTACAAGAAACACATCTATCACTTCGAAAAGGTCGTCAAAAGTTTAAATATACAACACGGACACATAATAAATAAACACATTTTACAATTACGGGTAGGCCTACCGACAAAAAATTGCAATGTCCGACCTCGGTAGGCCTACCCGTAATTGTAAAATGTGTTTATTTATTATGTGTCCGTGTTGTATATTTAAACTTTTGACGACCTTTTCGAAGTGATAGATGTGTTTCTTGTACGAGATCTGATGATGAGGACTTAAGCTCCTCGAAACACGTAATCCATAAGGACCAACAGGATCATTCTGGCAGTACTCAGGTAATTTTATACCTTTTATAGTTGAGTTTGTTGTTGAAACATAACTGTACTTTGCCGTTTCAAACCTTTGTGCCTTTCTCTAAAAAATAATTACTGTACTAGTGTATTTCATCACTAGTGTGTTAAGGGACTCTTTTCCACCCGAGCTCAAGTTCTGACGAAACTTATGATGAAAAAGTAAATTACATTGGGAGTACTTTGGTCTTTGGTACGGTAATATATTTGGATGGCATATGCGATTTAATATTGATGAATATAAATTTTGGTGTAAAGTCTCAATGAACGTAGTGTACAATCAAATAAATACCCAATTTTCATCCTACAAATAATCTTAAATATAACTTGTATATACTCAACTAAATTTTGAACATCCTTTCAGAACTCGCACGGTAGGTATGCACTTACTTTAACGAAACTTAAATGGACATAACAATTATATTTTTTCGTTGCAATTATGTTTCTTAACTACTACTGGCTGGGCATTACATCATGTAATCCCCATAATAGTTTATAGTTTGTTTGTTTATTACCCAACATGTAGGATCTTAGCTAAGGTGTTGACAGTGAATATGTAATCCTGTTTGTGTGTGAGAGGTCGGTCAAATACTTCGACGGCTTCTTATAGCTTCATCACAACACTTTGAAAAATATAGTCTTGTCTTAGCTACGTACTGTACTTTATGTTTTCTCTTTACAAATACAACGGTTGTAATAGTTTGTAATCGTTGTATCCATCACTGATTATAAAAGATAAGTAAATTTAATTAACGGAATCAGGCAGAATACTAATGTTATGAAGCTAAATAATTGTAGTTAAAAATCCAGAGTTAGGTCTCCTTGTTTAATATAAATAATAGTGGAAATACAAGCTAAAGTAAGCTCAGACGACCATGTCTCGGAATTATCACGGAGAAGTAACAGGAGGAGGCAAAGGACACGCCTGCTTCTAACTGGCAGAACAATTAATTGCGTGTCAATAGAATTACATTGATTCTTGTCACTGTTTGAATATTATTTGGCTTTAAACATGAATGCTTTGCAATCTTTAAATATTTTGGACAACTCACACTGTAAATCACCAGGTTCAACTTAAAAAGGATACTAGTCCGGAAAATAGGTGTTTACCATATACGAGTGCGGTAAAAACATGGAGTGACGTACGATATTTTTCGCCATACCACTCTAAACTAACCTAATAGGAAAAAAACTACAAATCCGTTGGGTAATCTTACCGACTAAAGGACTTAACAATCACTCACTACTCAAAACTTCTAAGAGTGGTTATGTTTTCGTTTTTTAATTTGTTGATTTGTTGCCAATTTTAATGAGCTGGTGTCCGGTAATAGTATATTACGTTACTAGTACTGAAAATATGTGGTTATCGGACGAGTGTGGTCGTTTCCGTTCGAGACGAAGTCGAGTGCGGGAATACCATACAAGTCCAGTAAACACATTTTGGTCGAGTGACGAACGGTATTTTAAGCCATACTCTAAGCTAACTTAATAGTAAAGAATGTGTACACATCTTTATATTTTGCCCACCGACTAAATGAGTAACACTCACTACTCGTAATATATTTTTGTTTATAACCACTCATTGCCAAATATAATCAGCTGGTAGGTGTCCGGTAAAAACTCATTACCTTACAGTACAGTAGTAGTAATGAAACCCCATTTGATTGAGCAGGCGTCAAACAGCTGTTTTCCTGACTAACTTCATGCGTTGAAAGTCTATTAAAACAGTGTAGTGTGGGGAAAAAAGTATAATGTGAACTTATCTCATTCCCATATCCATAACAAATTACCTATATAATTATTTACATAATTTATTACCTTACAATTACGTACACCCCTCTAACAGTAGAATAGGGTTAGGAAATTTAGTCACTCATAATTTCGCATTATTTCTTACATGACCAAATCTGATGTCACCTCCTAGGTTGAGTCATGCCTAGGCCCCTCTCAACTCCTGACCCCCAGCTTCTAGAGATGACCTCCCACTGATCACTGACCATGGTAGCGTCCAACCCCCTGGTGAGCCCCGCGGGCTCTACAGGTCTGTCTGTACTCTTCTCTACTCTCTGCATCATCGATCTCTTCGGCGTCTTCCCAGTGGTGGCTCTGCCCAGAGCTATTATAGGATGTGGTTAGTGTTAAATTGTAAAGATAGTAAATGTTTCCATCGTTCTTTATTGTCATTTCCTCCTGAAAGTAATACCACAGACAATTAGAATTAAATATAAACCACAGAAGTTCTGTGGTTACCATAAGTTCTGGCGTCCACCGTTTGAGTGCCGTTTAGTTACGGCGCATTCACTTAACTACACGGCACTCCAAGCGGTGGACGACAGAAACCGCAGCACTGCTGTTGGTCTTTATTTAATCCTATGTGTCTTTGGTAATACACACTTTGAAATTGAACTGACAGTTGTCATAACGTAAGTGGATAAAAGTGACAATTTACTCGAAGTTTATGAATCGTATGATTATAGTCTTTCATGGTACACTAACATGTTTGATTTAGGCTGCACTTTAGTTTGCATCCTACACTCGTTCGAATGAAAAATATCGATGTATAAATCTTACTAATATTATAAATGTGAAAGTTTGTGTGTTTGTTTGTTTGTTTGTTTGCTTGTTTGTTTGAAGTTCAATCACGCATAAACCACTGGACGGATTGGGCTGAAATTTGGCATGATGATAGCTTACATTCCCGATTAACATATAGGCATATTATTATCTCGAAAATCCTTTCGGGCTCCGCCCCAGTGGCTATGTAATTCCCTATGTTAACCTTATGAGTATTCATATTTAAAGGGAATTAAAGAATTTAGTCAGCTGTTTCAACTAAAAAAGTTGGTTCTATGATATGGAAAAGCATTAAAAAGTTATAAGATTTACCAACAAGGTGCAGCACTATATTTTTTTTGCATTTATGAAAACAGCTAATTTGATCTAAGCAGCAACAAAAAACTGTGATTCGCAATGAGAACTGTCAAAGTAGGATTGTTTACAGTTATGTTTATGTTTTTCATTTCATGAATAATTTGTGATATTTTGCGAATTGTTAATAATTTATTTTTCTCTATTGTTTAGGTGAAGTGGTAGAACATTATGGCTATGGTAGATGTGTAATACTATAGAATACTGTAAATTTAAAAAAGCAAATTTTATCAAACTGTGTCCTCCCTTATTGCAAACGCAAAGCTTGAGTATAACTGCAATAAGCATTTAATACTTATATTCCAACCCCGTACGAAGGACGGGTACTCTGCTAGTTATTTTATATATCAACTAGCTGACCCGGCGAACTTCGTATCGCCTAAGTTATAGGTTTCCCCTAAGACAGACCGATGGAAAGAAAGTACCGTTACGTTTAATTTTCAAGATGATCTCGTTCGCATCGCTCAATCACGTCCTGGTTGAAGTTCGTTCGCTACGCTCACTCACCTTTGGGTTGGAGCTCGTTCGCTACGCTCACTCGCCTCCGGTTTGAAGTTCGTTCGCTACGCTCACTCACCTTTTGGTTGCAAATTAGCTGTTGTCATAAATGTAAAAGAAATAATAGTGCTGCACCCTGTTGGTAATCCTTGTAACTTTAATGTTATTGAACATTATAGAACAGAACCAACTTGTTTAATTGAAACAGCTGTTAAGATTCATTAATTCCATTTCTCATAAGGTTAACATGGGAAACTCCAGAGCCACTGGGGCGGAGCCCTTTTAAGAATTTCGAAATGGGAAATAGTTTACGTCCGATTCGCATACCTACAGAATTTACACACCAAATTTCATAACGATCGGTGAAGTCGTTCCGGAGGAGTTTGCAGACAAACACTGTGACACGAGAATTTTATATATTAGATTATTGAACCTAACTAATCAAACTTGAATAGAATGAAATAAACAAATATCGATCGAAATATTCATTCGTATGATTGTAGGACGTAAACTAATGTGCAGTCTTTATTTAAAACGTAAAAAAATATACTTGAAAACTAGGATGTACTGCTTTACTACTTTCGTTCTAAAGTTTTTTCACTTGTCCATGGCGACCCCCAATATTTCATATGAACCTCTGGTCAGAGGAGAATACATTTTTTTATTGCAAAAGGTAATCCAAACTTTTTACTTTTGTATGTTGGAGCTCACAACACCTGTGAGCCACCTTTGATCACCACCTTTGAAAATATAGCTTAACCACCTTGATCTGTGGTTAAGCTATATTTTCTTGTTGTTGTATGCATTTATTAGGATACCTAAACAGTAATGGTAACATTTAGTGTAGTTATAACAAAATTATAACCAACATTTGCATGATACCTGAAAAATAGCTTCGGATACCCTGTGTAAACTGTAATTTGTCAAAAACACTGTTTTTAATGTTAATAGTATGAATCTTCAAATCATTTATTCATAGCTGTCCGCAGTATATAATTGTAACACCATGTACGTTATAGGATGGCTGGGTATACCCTTGGCCTTGTGTATCTTCGGTGTGCAAGTATACACAGCGATGCTGCTGGGTCGGTGTTGGCTGATGGCAGAACAAATAAACCCGGAAATCGCTCACAAAAGTAGGTTAGTCTCCAACGTTTTATCTCTTTGTCTTTATTATCATAATGAGAATTATGTTATAGTAAAGAATCATTTTGTCTAAGTTAGACAGTGAAACTATGTTAGAGGTTCTCAAGCATAGAATTTGACATGCCTTGCAATATTATTGTCAAGAACGTCAACACGATGAAGTAGTTTACCTGCAGCTAGAATTAAGAAGTTTATGCATAACGCATTAGCAAAGTCCATCATACTTTGGACGCCTCTTTGGAACTACTCGTTATGAAAGTTACATTTTAAACTAAGTACACCAGGGAGTGAGCTAGTCTATTGCATTCTACTGGTACAGAGCGGGACCTGAGTTCAAACCCCGCCAATCACCAATGCATGTATTTGTGTGTAAATGATAACCTGTACAACCTGAAGTAATAACGAACTATAACCTAGAGAAATAAAAAAAATATATAAAAAAATATACAATAACTATGGTGTTTCAGATATCCATACGCAGCCATTGCAGAGATGACGTTCGGCGAAGGTGTCAGTAGAATGGTGACTTTTCTGTTAGACCTCGCAGTGTTTGGTGGAGGAATTCCCAATCTGTTGGTCGGTGAGTTCAATGCATATATATTTTGTAGAAGTTTTACAATCAAATTGCTTGACCTTTGCTTCACAATGGGACAAGGACACAGAACAGAACAATTATTCAGACTACGGTTCTTCATATTTACTGTAGGAAAAGCCTTACAAACAACACACCTCTGATAAAAAAAAATAAATAAAAAATAAAAAAAACAAGCCCAATTGCACAGCTTAGTTGTGTAAAATTATCTTTGTTTTGATTCAGTTATACAGTAATCAGGTCATGAATGTGCTTATGTGTGTCATTGGCCTATGCGTTGGCCGAATTCTGTTTGTTTACAATACATAATGATAGATAAGTTATTTTCTATGCCCGCTTTACGTTTACTAAAACCTTAAAAAAAGAATAGTAAACCGTTCAACCCCCTCAAACCCAATAATATATTATTGTATTCCTATATCGCTTTAAATCACTTTAAATTCTCTTTCAGCCTCCCAGAACCTACAGATGCTGGGCCTAAAGGCGTCTAATTGGAACTTTGACTTCTCCTTCTGCTATTGGATGTTGCTGTTGGGGCTGGCACTGTGTCCTGTCATGTGGCTGGGTAGTCCCAAGGACATGAAGTAAGACTACCAGTCATGATTATAGTGCCTAAAAAAATATTATCGGTAAAATAGCAAGTACCCTAATTTACCTACACGATGTTCTAAGTTTCTTTTGGCTCACGGGCCCACTTGTTACTTAAGTCAACTTGAGGGGGTGCCAAACCACTAGAGATGGTGGTAGGAAATATAGGACGGTGGGTAGTTGAGTGTTACAGTGGCGTTCCCATATCAAATAATAATTGATAAAAATAATTGATAGTGCACAATTTTTTACCTTAGACTTTTTGTCCTAGAAAAGTCATTAGATTGTGATGGTTCGAAACTTGGCCTTGCTGCCCTTGATAATTTAATATTCAAACGAATTACAGTTGTTCTTGTTCCATATTTGATATTTAACTAACAGCCACTCCTCTGTATGTGTAGTCTACTGAAACATAGTGAATGTGTTAAACGACGGCTTTGGGTAAACATTTCAATCGTACGAAATATAATGCAGTCAGTATGATCTAATGTATTGTGAGCTTTGCACAGATGGGTTGCTGGTACCAGTGTAGGTACGGTGCTGAGTGTATCAGTGCTGACGTGGACATGTCTACTGACTGCTGAGCCAGCCTCACCTGCCGTGGTGCCTAGGCCGTCCTGGGAGGGTGTGTTCCTGGCCTATGGGATACTGGCGTTCCAGGTAATGAAACTCATAGTTAAGATGTGAGACATACAAAAATGATAATATAACAATGTTTGGTCAAATTGAATAAACTGTTTATTCTGGGTAGAACAACTGTAAGATTGCAAAAAAACTGTTAGCACGTCACCATTATTGCGTTAGAAGTTGGGGATATCACAGCCATCATAAGATATTGATGGATTCTCTTTTCAAAATATATAGTCGGCTGTAAACATGAGCTGACTTAGTAGTAACTTCGGAACATGCTCTATATTTGAGGAAAAATAAGAATACTGCTGATCAAAGAACTTTTCAGAAAATGTAAACATACCACAGCTGATGTGAATTTATAAAGTTGATAAACATTTTGCTCTTCAATTTTCAGTGATTATTAGTGAATAATTTTTAAATTAGCTTTTAAACAGTGTTTCAAAAAGATCTTTAAGAAGACAGGTTTTATACCAATAAGTATTTTATACATTATACCTCTATATCATTAATAATTCTCACAACTTAAACTCATCTAACCTCTAACCCCAAATATTCATTTTATTTGTTTTCAAAATAATATTATTGGTTTATTTTTATTTAAAATTCTTTTATCAGCTGAACCAGCCTTCTTCATGCAAAGACCAGAGCTCATGTTTACCTTATAATAACCTCAATTTTTCTTTTCTTTGAATGGGAAATCTTTTATAAAATGTCACAATCGACCTCATCAGATGTATCAAATTCCATCCACACAAACAGAGATCCCAGATATTTCAGACCCACATACACATCTCATGACTCGTCGACAGACTCTGTACTTACGCAAACCAAAAATCTATACAATACTCATTCTTCATGTGAAAGTCAAAAAGGATTTATCTGTAATATCTGTGTAAAGGCCCTAAAAACCGAGAAAGGTTTAAAGCTTCACAAAATCCACTGTTTAAGAAGAACAGAGGCCACCAAATTAACACCGATAACTAATTTGCCCCCTAACAATGAATCATCAAATACAAATTCCAACCTTCTATGTAGTCAAACAAAACGGTTAACTCCTGGTATAGGTGCAAATTTGGACCTTAATTCATTTTAAAATCTAGTTACAAATCTGAAGAAAAACGTTCCCATATTGAAGCGCATCCCGAAAGGAGCAAGACCAATCGCAGCAGACAAATTATCACGTCGTATTACAGCGTGCATCAAAACTAACTCACAATCTGCTTGGTTAAGCCTTATGTTATTTTCATACGAGTGTTTAAGAATACCAGAAAAACAAAACACAAAATCATTAACACTTCTAGTAAAAGAAAATATATCACACGAAAAACTACCAATAATAAAAGAAAATAAATTCAAGAAAAGTACAATAGAACACAAAGTTATGAAAAAGATTGAGGATTTCGACACAAAAGGAGCAGTAAGAATAATTTCTTCTAATGACACAGTTGCTGATGTAACGGCTCAAAATCACGACAAATTGCTTTCCATGCATCCTACTCCGTCTCGAGACCTCCAAATACCTGATCCTCCAAATGAAACATCTATTTTCTTAAAAACAAAAGAATCCCAAGTAAAAAGTTCAATCTCCTCTTTTCCTAATGGTTCTTCTTCTGGTTTTGATGGTATTTCACCTCAACATTTGAAAGACTTAACATCTAAATCTGCAAATGACCAGGGGGGGGAACTGCTGAAAAGCATTACAGATCTTGTTAATTTTATGCTTGAAGGAAAGGTCAACAGTTCAATTTTAAAATATATTTATGGTGCTAATCTTTGTGCATTGAACAAGAAAGATGGTGGATTAAGACCAATTGCAGTTGGATGTGTATTTAGAAGACTCACAGCTAAAATATGCTGTCAAGCTGTTCAAGAAAAGTGTAAAAACTATTTTCAACCTTATCAATTAGGTTTTGCAACTAAGCAAGGTTGTGAGACCATTATTCATGCAACACGAACATTTCTTGAGAATGAAAAAGAGTCCAACAAGGTTTTGGTTAAAATTGACTATAAAAATGCATTCAATTCTGCTGAAAGAGACATTTTACTAAAAGAGTTTAAAGAAAATGTTCCTGAACTATACCCATTTTTGTGGCAATGTTACAGTTCGTCATCTACATTATTTTTTGGAATCAAAATTATTGAATCACGTGTTGGTTGTCAACAAGGCGATCCAACAAGCTCACTCACCTTTAGTCTAGCCATTCATCCAATTTTGCTCAAGCTCAAATCGAAACTAAAACTGTTTTATTTAGACGATGGTACATTGGCTGGTGATCCGAAAACTGTATGGGAGGACATCAACATACTGATAAGTGAATCAAGAAAAATAGGATTAACAATTAATCCTAAAAAGTGTGAGTTATTTTTCACATCAAACATCATTGACCCTGACATAGAAACACATTTCAGAACTGTTCTTCCAGGCATTCAAACAGTACATTCCTCAGAATTATATCTGTTAGGTTCTCCTTTGAAGGATTTCAAAATCCATTGAATAAACATTTAGAATCTTTGAAGATCATGGTCGAACGGCTTAAATCACTACCCAAACACATTGCCTATTTTTTGTTGAAAAATTTCCTCGGTATACCCAAAATGCTTTACACACTTAGAAGTGTACCAACATTTCTATTTCAACAAGCTTTAAGTACTCTGGACGATACAATCATTTCATCCCTGAAGGATATTTTAAACCTAAATATTACACCCAAGCAAATGGAACAAGCAAGTCTCCCTATAAGCCGTGGTGGCATTGGTATACGAAGTCTCATTGATTTAAGTTTGCCCACTTTTCTTTCATCATGTGCAGGAGTCTCCAACATACTTGATATACCAGTTGACGAATTGGTGTTATCTTTCTGTACTGATGGAATCGAAGAGTTTTTAAAAAATTACAATGAACTGCCTTCAAACCCAATCTTACAGCATAATGGGAAAACATAGTTATGAAGAAGAAAGAAGAAAATTTAAAATTTGAAAACGTTTAAGATTTAGCAAGAATGCATGCCATCAAAGAAAAAGAGTCTGGAGCATGGTTACATGCCTTTCCATCAAAAAACATTGGTATGTTTATGGATGACAAAAGCTTCCAAATTAGTATTGGACTTAGATTAGGTTGTAATCTCTGCCGAGAATTTCAGTGTGTCTGTGGTGAAATCGTAGACAAGAGAGGTTTACACCCGTTATCCTGTATCAACAGTTCTGGAAGATTTTTCCGACACGCTGAAGTTAACAATATGATAAAAAAAGCTTTGGTGTGTGCTGACATCCCAGCCCAACTGGAACCCACAGGTCTTGACCGAAATGATGGGAAGCGGCCAGATGGAGCCACAAGCCTGGAGCAAGGGCCAATGTCTAATCTGGGATTTCACTTGCTCTGATACTTACGCAGTAAGTTATATAAATCAAACAAAAAAGCAATATGAGCAGCAGCTGAAATGGCCACCCAGAGAAAACATACAAAATACTCTAATATTACATCAAAAGGATACCAATTAATCGTCCTGAGTGTGGAAACTGCTGGGCCATGGTGCAAGGAAGGCAAGAACTGGGTAAATCAAATAGGCCGCAAGCTAATAGAAAAAACAGGTGACCATAAAGCAGGGAGCCACTTAATACAACGAATTGCCATGGCCATACAGAAAGGAAATGCCGCCAGCATAATTGGTTCCACACCCACAGACGACGACCTTTCATCAATATTTTATTTGTAAAATTAATGTAAGAATTAAATTTTGTCTATTTGTGAATAAATTAAAAAAATAGATATGATTGTTTTCATTAAAAGATCTATCCGATCATCCCTCCTTCGTAATTGGCAGTAACAAAAATTCCTCCTTATTAGATCTACTAAATGCACTTATTCATACACTTAATTCCAAAATTTTATTTTAGTCAAACAAATTGTGAGATGCAGAAAATATATTTATGAATCTATCTTTGAGTAGCTCAAGCAGATCGTATGAGCGCTGGCTCTAAAGTAAGTTACTCCGCAAACCGACCCAACACCAGGTAAACCAAAACTGTATACTATAACCTGTTAATTATCTCGTAGAAATTATAAAACTGCTAAAGTATCAAAGTAAATGCTATTATTCCAGATTATATTCCCACAGTTATACGGATCCAAATTACAGTTTTGATACAACGGTAACGGCACGAAGCTGCTAAGGTCACAAAGTTCAAAGGTGACCCCGCCCCAATACACTGGTCAAACAGGGAGTTTCTCTACCAACATGGTCATTTATACTCTTATCTGAGTAGTAATTTAGCTTGGATGGGAAAAGTTCAACATGATGAGGTTCCTTTTAACCTTAGGTCGAGATTGATGATTTATTGACAGTAATGATTTATAACGTTGCAATTTGTGTCTCATATAATCCTGTTAAGGAAATTGATTTATTTGAAATGTTGTGCTTCGGTCTGTTTAAGTTCGACATCCACCCTGTTATCTTGACAGTACAAGTAGACATGGCTGACAAGAGGAAACTTGGACATGCAATCCTTGGAGCTTTTTCAGGTGAGCTAGAGCTTCAATTGACAGAACTGTGTTCTACACCTTTAAATATTGCATAAGCTTTTATCAATAATAGATACTGCACTGCATAATAAATTTGATATTATGCAAATTGGCACTTATTGTGAGTATAGGAAATCTTCATTAAACATAAGTTTAACTAGTAAGCTTTACAGTTACTGTAACTGTGTTTTTACATTCCATTTCTAGGTAACGTTGGCCTGGACTTCCTCAAACATTTCCCACCTTTCATGTTCTAATGAACGACATCCTATGGGTTTTCTCAGACATTAATATCACGTTTTAATGGTTATCATCCTATGTTCTTCCTCATACTATCTTCGCTGTGTTGCCTTCTTTCCCTGTCCATAAGACCATGGAATAAGGCAACACAGTGAAGTGTTGAAATGTTTATACATTCTGATCAACATGCGGCACTTTCCTCACAAGTCGCAAAGTCTTGTTTCACGTTCTGGTGGTCATTATTTAACCCTTTGTTTCACAAACAGTAATACTTCTTTCAAATGTTGTTATAATCGACATCCTACAATGATCCTCACACACTGCAAGCCTTGTTTGCATGTTACAGTCACTGGCACGCTGTTCCTGGTGACTTGTCTTATCGCCTTCGTCAGGTTTGGTGACCAGCTCCGCTACAACTTACTGCAAGGTCTGCCTCCCAGTGGTCCTCTCCTTGCTGACGAACTGCTGGTAACTCTGCAGATCTGCCTCAGCATGGTAGTCAGCGGGACTGCCTTATTCCAGGATATAGAACACAGTCTTGGTGTTCCTCAGGGTTAGTCTACTGCTTATACTTGGTATATTGTTTATCATATCCATTCGTGGTCAAACTTTTAGATATTAAAGTAAATTTCGTTGGAAAACCTGTTTTAATAGCAACAAATACAGTATGTGCAAAATATGTAGGTAATTATCCTGCAGGTAATTAAAGTGGGTATCTTTAACCAAGGTTCCTGAGAGCATGAATGTTACATAACTTACGAAGTCAACAACTTCCACAGACCCAATTGGATTCACTTTGTGTTGAAAATGGCTTTGCTTTTCAGCTAGGTTAATTATTTTTTACAACATACAGAATCCTATTCTAACAGTCCATGTATTTTGCTTGTGTATTTTTTGTCATTTTGGGTTTTAAATAAGGGAGATCAAATCATCAATATAAACATAAATATTTGACAAAAAGTAATTACCATCAGCTTTTGGGTAGGGATAACGTAGTGATGATATGATCACTTGTGGGCAGAGACGTGTGGGCACTTGTGGGCAAATGTCTCAAAATACTAGTAAGTACATATCTATCAGTGGGGAGTTTATGTGGCTATTTTTATCGCAATCCATCGAGTCCGTGTAGTATCTGAGAAGTACTAGTTACACATGTATTACTCTGTTTCATTATAAATACATAGTTCTACATATTTAGTGGCAGATTTCTTAACTGTAAGATTTCGCAAATTATGTTCAATAGAATAGAAAACAATTAACTACTAATACAATTAAATTTACTTGTTGAGTTTACATCTGGGACTACCAATATATTTATTGGCTATTCCCTATTTATTTACAAATTGTTATTCCCGCTTAAAACAACATCAACAATTTATTACAATTGGATAAAACCACAAATTAACACCCAAAAAATAATTTATTCATAGATTCCACGTTAGAAATTCTAATGGGAAACCAGACACCAGTTTCTAAAATTATTCACCGTCTCATCACTTTGTATGAACCAGAATCATCCGATCACTTCCAGTAGGCCAGCTCAGTTTCGGGTTACATTCGTTACATTCCACATTTCGTATCCAATTTTTAGTCGGAAGTTTCTTAGAACATTCCCACCTCTAACGGCAGCTAATGGGAAGAAACTGAAATTTCTCAAGCCCGTAACTGCCTGGTCACGCAGCAGCAGAGGAAGAGCTTCACGCGAATGTGGTATTTGATGTTTCTGTTTCATGGGATCGCACTTCGCCACGTCACGGTAATCTGTGATTACACCGAGTAATTTATGTTGCATTGTCTACAAACACGCTACGTTTGACACTAATGATGGACCAAGACCACACGGAAACAAGAGACAATGTGGGAGTAATATGATTTAGCGAGGAAATGTGCGAGGAAAGTTTTGAAATTCAAAATTCAGGACTGGTAAATGCAGATGTGTATTTTTTACTTCGAATTTATAGCGTTCTATTTTAAACATATTTTTTGATTTAAAGGAAATGCTAGGAAATTGTTTAAACAAAAACTGGAAAAAAATAGCTCTCAACGAATAAATCACATTTTAAAAATGGTCGGCATCCTCTTTATCCTTTGATTTAACTGTACAGAGAGACTATAGACTTGTGTATGAAGCGTATCCAACGAAGCAAGGCGTGGGCCGGTACAGTACAAGGGTGAACTTTACTGATAAAAAGTAGTCGCAGGCTCTAGAATCCAACCCACGACATCGCTGCCTTGAGCCCGAAATCCGTGGCGCTACTTGGTCTTATATGAACGTTGGGCGATCATACCGACTGAGCTACCGACTTACCAAACGCGACGAGACACATATTAAATAATTGTATTCATTGGATCGAAGTTTCACCAATTCGATGCTTTGGAAGGGTTGAAGATTTTATAGAAAGTGTCATTACTGTTCCATTGGTGAGAATGGTAGTCCACTCCAATCCTATCTGAAGACTCGTGTTAAAATCTTGCCAAACACAATAATGGCTTTCAGCTATGTCACTATTTTATGAATCTTTGGTTTGGAGCTGACCTTAAACTCCAGGTCTACCGATAAATAAAACTAAACAGGATTGGTCTTCTAGACAAGGAAGGGCTTCTTTGAAGTTCCAAGAACCATACAATTATTTTCAATTAACAGTTTATGAACACAAGATGATTTATTGATCAAAAAGCGTCTGAAGGAACTTTGATAGGTACTCTCTGAATCCAAACAGTATACTATTCTATGCTGTTTATACATTGTGTATTTTCAATCTTCTGTTGACGAAACTATAGAAGTTTTACAAAAGAAAGCCACACAATGCACTATGCAGGTCAGATGTACTACAAGAGCCAACCTCATAGTATAATGGCAGATCCTAGTCGTGGCCAGTGATTCAGTGAGTGACCAGCTGCCAGTGACACTTTCCCAGGAGAGAGTGGACACATAGACCACCTGTCAATAACTATCGCCGTCAATAACAGCTGATCGGCAATTGATCCAAATCTTGGTAACTAGGTCTTGAGCTCAACCTTTATGTGATTGATTACAGTGTTGAGTGTTACAGCTATGTTTATAGCGTTACTTGATTCTCTAGAAAATAGCAGTGTAGTGCTTGCGTAGGTATAATCAATAGAATGAAATAACCGGGTGGAATAGTTTGGAGTTCCAATAATAGTAATTTTGAAAAGAACCTACATTCATCATAAAGATTCAGATCTAACATTTCTTTTACATATTTCTACGACAAACTTTCATCTCAAGTTTTGGTCCTTGTAAGTATATTTAACCTCCAGAATAAAAACAGTAGTCCCCCTTGACTCTCTTTTTAAAATTGTGAGAACCGACAAACAATTCTAAAATCCACGATTTTTACCTAGATTTTATAGGAAACATTTTGACTCACGACTACCTAACTAGACTTTGTAAGGACACATTTAACGCCTGACTCTCTCACTAGACGTCAGTTGTAGTAAAGCACACTCGATTTTATTACTAGAGTTTGCAAGGACAATGATAACTCTGAACTCTCTCCCCAGACTTCACCTGGAAGCGGTGTGTGGTGAGGTCCTGTGTAATCCTACTGGCCGTGCTGCTAGGCGAGGCCGTTCCTAGGTTTGACCTGGTCATGGGTCTAATTGGAGGCGCTCTTACAGGGCCCCTGATGTTCATACTGCCTCCTCTGTTCTACGCCAGACTACGCGCCATGCAGCCCCAGCCCACCTTCATAGCCGCAAATAGCACACTGGTGGGAAAGGTGAGTGTAATGAGGTACAAGAAAGGAAGAATTTTGTTTTAGGTTACGACTGTATTGAGAAAAGTGTGTTTCGTCTTAGAAACAACAATTTACACCTTAATTATTCAATTTTGTTATACAAAGATAAGTGTGAATGCCTATTAGAAAAATAATTGATGCGTATGAATAATCTAACAAATTTTTACAACTCAATTTGTCATAGTAAAATTATTTGTGTAATAACTTATACTTCACTAAATGTTAACCAGCAGGGGTTGAAGAACAATCTGGTCACTTTGTTAGACATCCACACAACAGTTGACAGTTACGAAGATCTCAGACGAGAAGCAGTCCTGGTGGAAGGCTATGGAACCTTCCAGGACCCTAGTCAAGTCCCTCATGAAAGGTATGATTTAGTTGTAGTAAAATCATGTTTGGTAATTACCATCTGGATCAGTATAGCTATTGCAGATGAATGAAATTTGGTTTCAACATTCTTAAAAGTTTTGGTTTAGTGATGTTCGTTGGTACTGTGAAAATATTCTGGTTTCTATTTTCTAAGATATAAAAAAACTCCCAATTGTGCTTACATTTTTAAAATAAAGATGATTTAAATAAGTAGCCTTTTTAAAATTACTCCTTCAGAAATCCACTTGACTACAATTTTAATCTGAACGAATGAGAACACTTTTAATATTTGTTATCAAAGGTGAATGACGAAATTGCAACAAACTTCACACAAACTTCTAAATACACACAACACTTTGTATTCACACAAACTTTCTAGGGCTCACATTTTGTAAGGCTACGCATTCTTTTAATGAATGAACAATTCTAACTGTAAATTAATTACCACTACAGTACTATATAAAGGATATCGTCTGTATGATGGAACCTCATATAGCCACCAATATTTCATCTGATCAAATAACTTCAGAGAAAATATATTTATTTTGACTATCAACTCATAGAAATATTTGTTAATTCTTTTCCAGTTCTAGACGTCCGATTCCTGACCCTCCCCACAACTTCGTGGTCCAGAACCTCCTGTACTTCCGTGACCGGATGCTCGGGCTGGTGTCCCTGGACAACTACCCCGCCATCGGTCCTCTCACCTTCTGGGAGAGGATGTTCACGGTGTGTCTGGTAGGGTTTGGTGCCTCGGCTACCGTCCTCAGTACCTTCTACACTATGAGGGACACAATCACCTACGCCACCTTCGTACCTCCGTGCCTCGTCAACGTCACACTGGCGTCTAGAGCTGTCATTGAGAACGCCTTCTAGAGAACGACGGTGTTTCACGTGTAAAATTTTAGACTGTTCCAAATTGTGGAAAAGATTCATAGTGAACTTTTACTTCGATAAAACAATGGCCTAATCTAAAACAGGGCCACAGCAAGACAAAAGTGGCAACACCGCACTTCCGGCTCGCGGAAACCACTATTACACATTTGTATTATTACCAAGGCAAAGGCCGGCCGGTGCGACGTTGCCACACCTCAACCTTGCGGCCTTCGAGGAGGCTATGATCAAAATCAATATTCGATAAAAAATATTGCTAGCTATTTACAATCATTTACTTTTGGATATTAAAGGTATAAGCTGGGTGAACGATTTGTGTTAACCATCAATACTGTACCATGTGGTTAGTTCGCCTACATTGTGAATTGTGTTTTATATTGCTTAATGTCAGTGATTCTTTATACAAGCGTATTACATCACAAGCCGTCCTGACAAATTGTGAGTTTCATTATAATGCAATGGATTATATTATATTTATTATCATCTAAAAGTCTGTAATATTGCATTTCGGTAGAACATCTTTGGGTTTTATCCCTTTTATGTGCTCGTAAAGAATTATTTTGACGAGTTTGAATACGTTCATGTTTTTCTGCTCTTATCCACTGTCAACAATAGATAACTTTAATCTTAAGAATTAAATGCTCTTGTTTTCCTTGAATGTTGGTTTTGTATTTTTATATTTATGTTTGACAAAGATCGGTTTCCAGTACAAAGAAAGCTTTAGCGTTCAACGTGATAAAAATATTCCTTATACGTTATACGTAACATTTTAATTAATTTCGAGTAAAACTTACTTAGAGATAGTTCAGTCAAAAGAGTTTTTGAACAGGTCCCATTTTTGTAAAACCAACCTACTTCCATTATTTATTATGTTCTACATCTTTATAATATTGTATTTTTAAAAATAAATCTTGAATTCTTATGTGCTCAAGTTATTTATGGCATGTGTACTGATAGTATTTTTATCACTTCAGCATCTTGCCAAAACATCTTTAAAAAATTATCCTGTAAACATCAGTGGCATAAATAGCATAGATTAAGTAAATAGCATAAACGTAAAATAATTCTTAAACTGTTTCTTAAAATTGACTAAGTTAAATTCGTCTATAGATTATAATAGATTTTCAATTAATAGGTCATTTAAAGTATGGCTAGATCAAAAACTATCTGGTTCACTCCAAATTATTTTGAGCACTGATTTTAAAACTCTATTCCCTCATATGAATAGTTTCCTTTGTCTTTACTCAATCTGTGTCTACCAGAGTATTTTCAATATTTGTTTCTAGTGTTAGATGAATAAATACTTTGTAAGCTTGCATAGATCCTTTGTAATTAATGTGATGGTATAGTTAATTAAAACTGGTAACGAATTAATCACTATTTTCAGAGTTTACTCTATAAAACAACTCAGATAACGAGTACGATACAATAATCACTCACTACCATCGGACCGCGATGCAAGCCTTGTGCGAGATATAAGCTGTTTGAGAATTCGGGGTGGATGTATATTGGAGGGGTAAAACAGCCTGTGAAGCTTTACTTACTAAAATCAGCTGTTTCTTTGGTCAGGATAAATTAATAGCCCAATAATCAGGGACAGCTGGGTTCCGTCAAGTTTAGTTTAAAACCAAACAAGTGCAAACACAGTGAAAAATTGAGAATGTTTCAACACACAGAAAACTAAACAGTCTGAATGTTTCAGAGACTGATTTTGTTCTTTAATAATGTCTTGCTATAATTCATGTCACTCATAAAATCCAAGAGCGTTTATATCTTCGACATCACTACTTCAGTTAAAATCATGAACCAAGATTAGTACATTGGTTCATGATTTTAACTGAAGTAGTAGTACTTTAACTGAAGTACTTGAGGACTTGAGGTTAGATTAGTACATAACCTCAAGTCCTCAAGTCTTTGGTTGGTTTCATTTCCTCTTCAGAACCCATTACAGCCTGCCAGTTCTCAACCCAAAACGCCCTTTGCCGCCCTAGAAGATCCAACCCAAGCCGATGACTTTTCCTCAGAAATTAATCAACCCAACACAAAACCCACGAGATTATCCATACTCAGTTTTCCTCCACACCAAAATCAATCACTTTCTCCTACGGTGAGGTTCTCCCATCCACCGCTAAAAAGAGGGAAACTCTGCTTTGCGGTAAAGAGGACAAAAAGTGTAAATAATTACCCAATCTGGACAGAATGACTGAGCGGTCTCCCACAATGGTAGAGGCTGACAAAGAACTGTTTGTACATCACCGTCTGCATTGTCATCCTCGCTATCCAGACTTTCACGTACATCCAGTGCGGCACCGAGGTCTGCGGGGTCTTCCGCGATACAGACGTTTTGAATACAATCCAATCTGTCTACACGGAAGCACAATAGTGATCCCATAGACTTTCTCTGTGATGATAGAGTGCACTTTTGGTCAAGGCTCACAGAAAGCCAAAGGAGATGAAGTTTACGAATTTACTGTTCTTTTCTTGCATAGGAGGTGAAAAGTCATTTCCTTATACTTTTCCCATAGGTTGAGTGTAAGTTTATTGATCAACATTTCTGAAATCTGAAAGTGATTGAAACACTTAGATTTGAAAGAAATGGCAAGCATTGCGAAGCATGGCTATGAATTACTTGGGCTTTTGGAAGTATAGTAGAGTAGTTTCATTGTGGTCATATTTCGTCGGCAAATGAAAAGAACGTTTTACGCTCTACACTAGCCACATCAAGGTATAATATCTTTCAATTTACATGTTTACTCTTTACTAATTTTACTACGGCATGTTTGTATTTCATCTAACTACAGGTCGTCCAGTGGTCAAAAACTCGACCAAAAATATGTAATGTACAGACTTCTCTATTTTCACACTACGCTGTAAATAAAACATATGATTGTAATTTCTTCCATTTGTTTCAACTTTCTGTTTATATTGCGTTGTTATTTCGACACTAGCATTGCAACCCATAAGGTATATGTTAATTTTTTTAGATTTAAATTTATTTGTTGAGCTTATTTTGAGCCTATTTTAATTTATGAAGGGATTCTGCACATCTACACGAAAAAGTCTTTCCAACAGTATTTATAGATTTTCCCTCCGAGCTGAGAAAAAAGGTTTTAAAGAAACATTTTTGCCTCTTAACATATAGATGGTCAATTTTGTTGGTTTTTCAAATTGATACATAAAAATTGATACGTCAATATTTTGTTGGCGTAATTTTGTTGACGTGATTTATGCATGCATGAATAAAATGCCAACCTCCTTGATAATTTTAACCTACTTCTATGGAGGTCGATTTGTTCCAAAGCTCCTGGGCATCACATTCATTTTATATTCGACATAGCGACATTGCGATAGGATTTCAAATTATGTGGTATCGATCCCAATAATGTGATAGGATTCCCAATAATGACAAATAATAGAGGAGGTGAGCACAAAAACAACTTTTACTGCTACCACATGCCACACATAATTAATTGTCCAATCAAAGGTCATAAACACTACCAGCATTCAAAGTAAATAGAGCAAACCAACAGGAGAAAGTTGAACCAGGAGCTAGAGGTAGAGTTTATTGATAACACTCTCCATAACCTTGACCTAGACCCAGCAACTCTCTCTCAAGGTCAAGGAAGGAGGTCATAAGGGACCTGGGTGGCAACTGACTTACGCCTCCACTGTGTATGGAGATGTACATCACTAGAAAACCTGAGTACGTAGTTAAGGTGAAAATTAGTGAAAGCGAGAGTGTGGGATAAACGTTGTGGTAGCTTTATTTATTATTTTCATATGTTCTTTTATCAGAATTAATTTTACACTCGGTTCAAGGCGATCTCAGAAAGAATTGGCGGGGAGCAAGCACCTATCCAAATACACAAGTCTTACTAAAGATATTTGATTTTGACAAATCTGTATTTCAGGTCCAACACATGCAGATTTTAGTATGTTGATATGATTCTTAGGCTAGAATGTTTTACCAATAACATTAACGTTTTCGTTGGGGGTTTAGTTAAGATTAAGATGACAGCAAAGTCCAGTTTCTTTCCAGTTTTTTTTTGTCCAGTAACGTTTATGGCACTTGTAAGTATTAACATGTTTTTAGCAAAAGTATTTTTTTTTTGTTCTAAACACAAAATATCTAGAGGGAAACCATATAATAAAATAAAATTAAAATAGTTGAAGTGAATTGGCCCTTTGTCAGCTCAACAAATCTACTTCCTCTCTTGCAGTGGATAAGGCTAGAAATATAAGACAAAGGAAGGCACTGAGGACGAGTTTATCTATACTGTATGTTAGTTTAAGTTTTCACCGTGTGCTCCCACTATCTCCACGTTCCGCCACCTCCGAACCCAAATCTGTCCCGCCACCTCCGAATTCTTGAGTGACCCTTATAATCCCGTCACTGCCTGCGATGGTAGCTGTCATTGCATCCACGGCTGCGAAGTCCCGTGGATGGAAGATTTAATCAAAATTTAGCCCGTGGGTTAGGTTAGGTTAGGTTAGGTTAGGACGGAAAGTCTTAACGCAGGTAGTAACCGAGGATTATAGGGGTCACTCTGAAATTCAGAGGTGGCGGGACGCGGAGATAGCGGGAGGTAACCGTTTTCACATATAGCGGTGAACATCAGTAATAGAGCAGGTGCAACTGAGCCCAGTGAGTGCGAGATCCATCCCATCACAATAGCGGGAAGCATGTAATCAGGTCAGCTGACTGCCAGTGCTCACTAGCTGATTAGATCTGAACCGTGTCACCTCCCCGTGGTCACTTGGTAGACAGCTGTGTAGTAGTGCTGAAGCGGCGTAGTTGCGTGGCCGTCCTCGCACTTCACACGCTGTCAAGCGGACAAGTAGCCTCCGCGAGTACTCACCGGCCGCTAGCCTTGAATTATTAATGACACCATTTTCCCCTACTGGTAAGATACAGGGTTTAGATTTTTCTGAGATAAATAGGTGGAAATAATTATTTGGGTCAGTTATGTTATAACAAGTAGTTTCTGTAAAAAAAGTGTTTATATTAAACACATGTGATCTGAATAATTCATAACATTTGGGGTAGAATCATGTCACATCACCAATGTGGTGTATTGGAGTTTTGGCCTCTTTGTAGATAACCTTCATTCAGAGTAATTTTTGGAGCACTAATGAACGTTTTGCTCCGAAGATGGTAGTCGGAATCGGAACCAAAACGCCAGAACATCATTTTTGTGATCTTACATGGATCTATCTTGAGGACTACGATAATTGACATCTATGTTTTAAAAATCTCACTTCAAGTGATGCATTTATGCTTCCTTATTTCCTAGATGATTTTCAACATGTAACTGCATTACTGGCCCTTTGAGCACATCACCACAGTACATACTTCCATCCAATATAAAATCATACCATCCACTTCCCGTGGTACAAGGCAGCCCTAATCACTCGTGTTCCAGCCCAGTAATAACCTCCAAACTCGACATGTGAGGTTATCGGTTCGTGCAAGATCGTGAGAAAGTCCTCAGGATAATCATTTCCCGATCGACCTTCTCACGGTGCGCATTCGCATTCTTCCTCTAATTAGACTTTCGCTGATTCCCGTACCGTCCGCTAGGTAGCACTCCAGGGCGGAAGTCTCCCCCAATTACACCCATGAGCCTCTCACCCCCAGCCAAGACCTCAGACTTCCGCCCGCGCGGGAACCGGGTCACCCGGCAGCCAAGCTCGACTCCGAGGCTTTCCATCCGCCGCAAATCTCCTTGTACTTTCACCCCTCAATTAGCTAATTGCTCGATGGTGTACTGAAAGAGACATTATATCGTGATTTTCTTGAGGTCGGTAATGACTGTACTGCACTGTAGTAGAGAATGCGCTGTAGAGTACAAACCAAGTATGATTCTATCGGTGGCAATTATCTGCAAAAATATTTCAAACCATCCCCAATGGTTTCTGTAATTTACAAAAAAAACTTTTTTATCAGCCGATTTACTTGTTTGAGTTCAATTGCTTGGTCTATACAGTATTTCGAAACGTTTAACGATGCCACACCGAACGTATCCATAAATCAAATATTATTAAATACATGAATTACAACAAACGAATGATACCCTAATGTTTTTTGACACTGTTCCAAAAAACTTTACCATCCCGCTCGGTAAAACATGCTATCACGACTTTTCTGAATGTGGAATTTGATTGTGTCCTCAGGCGCGAAAGGACCTACAACATAATCTATCTAAAAACGTGGTGAAAACACCATTTTTACTAATCGTAATAGAACATGTTATCAATAGTCCCTCAAATAACATAAACATAATACTTATTGACATATCATCCTACTAACACTTCACGTGTACAAAGGTGCAACAGCTATGCTGGTGTTTGGATACTTTAATCAACAAAGCTAGAAACTTTAGCGGTATAAATCAGTTTATAGAATATTTATAGAATCTATAATATGTGTACATATTATATATTTACTACATAATGTATTACATACATTATGTCTTTATCCTCGCCAATGACGATGAATGAACCCCCCCCCGGTCGCTGGTCTCCATTATATATTCTCTGTTTAGGAAGCAGCCGCTTGGAGGGCAGAACCCCGCGAAAATGTAGGTTAAACGAGTCCGGTTCTGGCGGGGATCGATATTTCGGCCAGCGGAGTTTTGGACTTTGTCAAGCCGTGGATTGTAGGAAACAACGGTGAATCGGTTAACTCCTTGGAATGTTTTAGAAACTGGTTTTAATCTGCTGTATAAGTTGAATAGAACTGACTGCAAAAATTAGGATTAGATAAATGAATGTAAATAAATTGGTGTAAAGTAAGGGAGTGTGGTGGGAACAAAATGTTTAGTGGGTCAATGTTTTGTCAAGACAAAAAGTTCTTTCTTTAGGCAAAAACAATTAGTATAAGGCTGCTTTGACTATTATAAAACGTACGTGATATTTTGAAAACCAGATAATGTATTGTTATATTATGTAGAGCTGACTTATACCATAGACTAGCCAATACAAGTAAACTTTTCATCCCATTGTAAAATCTGATCTTCTTTTTCTCGTTTAGTTCAAGCTGGTGACACTAAGCGCTAGTGTTGACGAAATTTTGTTTCTATTATTTGGGGGTTAGTTTTATGATTTTTGCTTTACTTTCTTTCTGATTACATATCCAGAGTACGACCTAGATTTTATGATTACATTGTTTTATTTGGTCAAACGAAGTTTTTAATAGCCGAAATAAGAAGAAACAAAGTGTAAACAAAAACACGCCCCCCGTGGCACCGGATGGAAATAACATTAAAATTGTTTTAAGCTGTTCGATAACAATTACAAATCTACTAAATCACTATATTTAATCTATGTCCATACTTAAAATCTGATTGAAGGAAAAAACTAAAGCACAAGCTGTACTGTGGTGGTTTATTTGGTATTAATGTATAAATTTAAAAAAGCTACAGTGTTTAATGTACTAATGAGTATCAATTCTTCCCCGGGGTAGGACCCTTGTTTCTGCAATGCTTCCTCTGCTTCTTCCTCCCTTTCTTTTCCTTTTCAATGCCGATGATTTTACAGAATGGCCCCACACAGACCCCTGAACAGCACTCAGAGTCTAGCGTACACTGCGGGAACAACATAAATACAAGTGTTTGTATAGGTAGGCCTACAGTGTGTGATTGTGGATTTATGATAAAAGAACCTAAGAAACCTTGCAATAACACATGATTGCTTCTAAAGAATATAGAGGAAACCATTAAGTATACAAGGACAATAAAGTCAAGTACATGATATGTATAAGAACCCTGATCAAGAATCGCAATCTTTACGGTTTAGTTTATTACAGTATTTCAGTGTGTTCCGAAACACGGAACTGAACTCGTCAACAAATTACCAAAGCTTTGTTCCATGACTAATTGACGTAATAATAACATGGAACAAAGTTCTGATATTTAGTTGAAAAGTTACATCTACCCCTGTAATATTAATGGTAAGCCTAATCGTTGTTATTCGTCGTTTTGTATGGTTGTTTCATAACCTTTCTTAAATAATAGGATTAGGTAGGGATTTAAAAATGGCAACGGTTTTAAAATAGAGATTGTATGATCAAATGGGTTTTGTGCAACAAATAAACAGCTCTGCGAGTAAATTGGAACGTAAAGGTAATTTAATATATTATTTGTTTACTATTTGGTAACATTAATAATTATTACAATTATTGTACTCGTATAACATTAGGATATTTACAATGCCAAGCCAATATATGTAATGCTCAAGTTGCCTTCTGTAACCAATACTTTTCCAAATGCAAATCTACTTTTACTATTAATCCCCTATCTTATCAGGCTATTTTTACACTATTTCACCTTACAATCCCCCCTACTACTCACAGTGATACCCCAGTCCTCCATACACTTGTAGTCACTGGACACCATAGCATTCACAGCTGGATTGTACCCTCTAAGGTCAGAGAGTGTTCCACTGGTGTAAAGAGTGTCCTCAGGGTTCATCGTAGGGTTCTCGTCAGAGACACACGGGGAGAACACACTGAACATCAACAAGGAGACAATGACGTACGACAAAGAGAAACTGTCGTACGACACGGAGAAACGCGACAAGGCACTTACGCGCGACATGGTAACTGTTGACCGACTGAACTCTCCTAACTTATGCAGGAGACGGCGGCGATGACTAAGTGAGTAATATTGGAACAATCAACACGACGCAATGGCGGCTATCAGTGATAGAGTCGTGACTAGTGATTAGTGATCTCTTCCGAAGTGTCACTGGGTATGAGCGGGATGACGTTTGGTTATTACTAGGAGGAAAGAGTTTGGTGTTTACATTTCGTAACTAACTTGACTTAGCTTTTAATTAGCTTGTTTATTACCTGTACACAAAAGAATGTGTCTTCTTTCCATCAACAAGCATTATTTTTATACGAGTATACATTACAGTACGAATTCGGTAGTTGAGTACCATCCAATGCGTTGGAATGTAGTTTCGTTACTGATAAAAAATATATTTTTAAAATCCGCGGGGTTGTTAAACTTTTAAAAATTGTTTACTTTACCCCATCTTATCCTTTAGCTAAGTGTTTACAGTGCAACAGTGTATTCATAGAGACGGTGGATTGACCCTGCAAAAAGTCAATAGCTTTTTGATAGTTTAAAACTACAACCTGGTGTCCTTGATCTTTGGGCTTCAATAAATGATCATGGCTTAGTAGTAAGTTGATCTTAGTCGGTAACTACACTATTCTATAATACTCTCTGCATTCACATCCAGCTGAAAAGACGTGTCCAAGTGTGAGTCTCAAAACTAGTAAATTGAAAAAAAATATCTAACTTTTGAAGCTTAAGTTATGTATGAATAATCACGGTAATACGCATAAATTTTCTTAAAACGTCAACTAGCATTGCTAGCTACAACATGCAACATTCATGTACTAGTCCTTCAAATTAACAACTGATGATTCTATGTTAATCAACCTAATTAGTAAGCTCTCATACTCCAACCAAACAATTCCTTTCAAATCAAAATATGATTCTCATTGAAACAATGAGAAAACTAGTTACACAAGCCACGGGATCTCAACAGGCCGGAAGCGGATAGGATCAGCTGACTAACTGACATAACCTCTTCCGCAACATTGATTATCAGGATATTTGGCGGTAAACGGTCCTTGAGTGTCCATCAGAGCGTTACCGTTTACCGTCGTCTGCAACGATCATCAGCTGTAGAAGATCTACCAGAGGAGGAATAGGGCTAGTTGGATGTTGAGAGAAGGTAGATGGAAATAGTGACTTACAACTCCGTAATGGAGTCACCAAGAAAGTTGGTTGGGATTTTGAATAAACTCTAAGAGGGACTCCAAGAAGGTTGGGATTCACGAAAAGGTGTAAAGAGATATTCCAAGAAAGCTAAGACTTAGGGTTTAAACAGAGACTCAAAGAAAGGTGGGATTTGGGATCAGTTCTAAAGAGAAACTCCAAGACAGTTGGAATTTGGAAGAAGGCTTAAACAGATACCCCAAGAATGTTGGAATTTGGGATCAGTTCTTAGGAAAAATTCCAAGAAAGTTGGAATTTGGAAGAAGGCTTAAACAGAGACCCCAAGAAAAAAAGATGGAAATCAAAAAAAGAAAGTTGGAATCTGGGATCAGTTTTAAAGAGAAGAAATTCCTAGAAAGTTGGGATTTGGAAGAAGTCCTAAACAGAGACTCCAAGAAGGTTGGAATTTTGGATCAGTTCTAAAGAGATATTCAAAGAAAGTTAGAATTTGGGAGATGGCTTTAACAGAGTTCCCAAAAAGTTGGAATTTGGGATCAGTTCTAAAGAGAAATTCCAAGAAATTTGGAATTTCGAATAAGCACCAAACAGAGTCTCCAAGAAAATTAGAATTCGGGATCAGTTCTAAAGAGAAATTCCAAGAAAGTTGGAATTTGGAAGAAAGCTTAGACAGAGACCCCAAGAAAGTAAAAATTCAAAATAATCTCTTAACAGAATCTCAAAGAGAGTTGGAATAAGCTTAACAAAGAGGCAAAAATTGGAATTTTCTGTAGAATGGATTTTATGTTGAACTTAGAGTATTTTCAAACGGAGGAACTTAAGAAATTGGGATAATTTTCATATATCAATCCACTTACTTGTTTGGATACGATTGATCGGATTTGGTTGTGATAGTTTCATTATATAACACTTACATGTACCCACTATGCATCCACTATTTCGAACCCTAAGTAGCATACATTCATTTTTTTAGAATAAAAAGGTTTGAAAATACCTGCAGCCACGATGAAGTTGAACAGAGAACTCTACGAAAATTACGTACTTTCCAGCTACCTCGATCCTGATGCATTGTTTGTTTACGTTAGGTTATGCCTGACTTTGTTTAATGTACAATGACATTTACAAGTACTATCCCATTACCTTAACCCACGTGTTTTATATTTAATAGAAACAAAGACAAAAAGATAGTTGTATTAGGTTTAAAAAATTAGGCCTACTCTTACATTGTTGGAATGGCACTGTAAAATGAATTTACACGCCTTGCATTTGTTCTAAACAGATTCCAGAAAAAAATTGGGTACAATTAGCTGTTTTGGTATTCTGAGTATTGAAGGAACAGTAGAGAGATTTATGTTAGATTTTAGCAGGTAATTTTAACATGATTAAATCATATGAATCCCTCATTTCACCCTGGAAGTGCCGTTAAAAACAAAACAAATACACGGTCAAGAATTCCAGCACCTATTTTTGTTGAAGTACTATTAGAACATCAATAAAAACACAGTACAGTGCCATTGTTGTCCTTAGTGGATGTTTTACAACTCCGTAAACAATACAAGACCGATGTTCAGTAGACTGTGACTGAACTCTCAGAGAAAAACCATACCTTTGTGAGGAGGAGATAGATTGTTAGAGAATAACAGAATACTGGACAGAATAGCTGTTTGAACTAAAACAGTTATGCCGACGCTTGCCTTCCCACAAGTTATAAACGACTACATTGCGAACTATGATTGTAAACCATGTAATTCTGTATGATTTATGGTGAAACAACACCTCATCACTTTGCACAGGTATAGAGTGAAGGCAGTTATACTTAACAACTGTACTTAACAACCTACAGAAAACTTAGTTTTAACGAGGGATTACAATAATTTCCCGTGCATATCTTGTATATCTAGGTCTCTGTTTTTGGCTGGGATTAAAAAGATACTCCTCCTTGGACCAGTAATAAATAAGTTTGGTGAATTTGACTATGTCGAGTTGTTAACGGATTGGTGCATTTTTATATTTATATCGCCGAATCCCTAACCATCGGCGAATCTGTACGCTCGCAGCAAGTGAGGTCCGAGCTTCTCCATGCTATGGGAGTAGACCGGAGATTCTTGATCCGGGTTTGCTCAAATACTTTATGATCGACTCTTGCGTAGATAGCCTGGGTACTCTCTGACCTACAACCCAAAAGGCTGTGGTAGGACTTTGAACGTCTTCCGTTTTGAATAGGGAAGGAGCTTCGACAGGTGGATAGAATATTTTGAAGCATGGATTATGTATTAAAAATTAGTGAGATTTCTCACCTACTTTAGTCCGTATGATGAAACCTGGCTCCTGACCCACCTACCTGGAACTATCCCGGGCCTTAAACAATCGGACAGTACCCATGTACACAGGGTCAGAAGACAGGTTCCATCATACAGACTATAAGAACAACTCTGTTGTTATACACCACTGTTCTATATACACCAGACATCCAACTATAGAGCAAATTAGGTGAATAAAACAGTACTAGGCAGTAAAGACCACGCCGAGGGTCAGGGGTCAAGGAGACAGGTTCATACCGACTATCGGCTCTCGTTTGAGTAAATCCTTGGACAAAACAAACTACCTTCGTGTAGATACGTCCACTATTTCCGAAATCCAAGGCGAAGACGAAGGCGTTTTTTCGCTTGGTTGGTGTCCGGCTGGGTTTTGCCTATCTTGATGTGCCTGTGGAGGAACTGTCCAGCAATCTGAACTTGTCACCTCTTGCCCTGCGACGTGAGGTGGCTGATGTTGTTCTTCTCTGGAATATAGTGAATGGTCACATGAACTGTCCAGATCTCCTAGCTGAAATTGACCTCAGAGTTCCTACAAACACAAGATCTCGAGATCTGCTGGGTCGAAGATACCACTCAACCAACTTCGACTTCAACAGTCCTTTCGCAAGGTTTATTCGCCTGGGAAATCAAGTTGCGTCTGGGTGTGACCTGTTCTTCGATGGACTTCACTTCGTCGGCAGGCCTCCTCTCTTCTTCTTTCTGGGAAAGACTAGAAATTAATTATTGTTGTTTGTTAATCTTTATTTTTTGTTGTTGTTATGCTTTGGATATTTATAACTTGTTATATCTTTGAAAACTTATATTTATTATCAAATTTTGTATACCTATTTTGTTGTATTCTACCATCTATGCTTGTCTTTGTAAATTGGCTGCTGCCGTTGGAAATAAATAAATACATAAATACATAAATAAATAAATAAATAAATAAATAAATAAATCCACACGAAAGGCACGACTCGCCCACTGTACCACCCTCTCCACTACATGTTTCTTGACCCTCTCAACTAGACGTCCTTTACCAGCCTAAGAGTCCGTTGACTCGCGACCCATCGCGATTGTTACTGACTCGCGACCCCCCCTGGGGTGATCTTTAACCTCGGAGGTCCACATTCTTGAGACTATGACGTCACCTGACCTCCATCCGGGAATCGCCAGTGGAGGAGGTGGCGGACTGGGTCTGGGCTCTCTCCTGTATTTATGTCAGCCGTCGACCATCTGTGACAAGCTCATGAATGGTTGGACATGGTGATGGTGATCACTGAAACCGCTATGTCTTTGGATGATGAACATTAGTTCAAAAACATTCGATGATAATAGTGGTCACTTTTTAAGTTTGTTTTGTGGAGATTTCATTTGATATTCCTGGTCTTTATTTGCAAAACTTCGGTTTTTAGACTTGACCCAAGGAGAAGGACGTCGAAGTTCAAGATTAGGAACGTTTTAGTGGTGAATTAGGCAGAGCGATCTTTATAAAGTTCACAGTACTAATAGACTGTCAAACGTGCAACTACATGATTGCGCTTATGTAT